TAAGTAACCAGCTAAGCCACAAAGATACAGAAATAGGTAACAAAAAACTAGAATTGGAGTCAAAAATAAATCTGATATCAAGGAAAAATTCTGAAATACTCAATCTAACCAACCAAATCGAAGATGGTTCTCAAAAAGTGGCTTCATTAACCGAACAGCTTCTGAAGTGCAACGGTTTAGAAAGTTGCCCCAATGGTTCCAGTGGCATTTTCCAAATTAAATTAAGAGGAATAAATGCCTTTGAAGCTCCTTGCAAGCCAGACGGATATATGGTCATTCAAAGGCGCCAAGACGGGTCAGAGTCCTTTGATCGCAACTGGGAGGATTATAAAAACGGATTCGGCGATCCTAAGAAAGAATTTTTCATTGGCCTGGAAAAATTGCACCAAATCACTAAAGCAAAACCCCATGAACTCTACCTTAAGATGAGCGATGTCAAAGGAAGAACTGGCTATGCTCACTATGAAAATTTTGAAATTAAAAGTGAAAAAGAGGCATATGAACTGAAACCTTTGGGAAAGTATTCGGGAACTGCCGGCGACTCACTATCGCATCATGAAAACAAAAAATTCACCACATTTGACCGGGATAACGACAATTGGACTGAAAACTGTGCTCAAAATGGAGGTGGTGGTTATTGGTATCATAAATGCAGTACAAGGTAAGTATTCTATCTTTAATAAATCACACAAAATGTAGTAAACACCTTTTAATTACAGTTCCCTCAATGGAAAATACTTTGCAAGTGGACACAAAGGATCATTTCTCGGCCTGTCAATTGCTTGGGGTTCTTGGAGTAACTACGATTTCAAAACTTCTCTTACCTTTGTTGAAATTATGATAAGGCCAAAGTCCTAAGATGCCAAGCCTGATGTTATTTTCTGTCTTCCATTTTTTTCTACGAAATAAAATCTAGAAATCCGAGCATCATTTAGAGCAGCAACATGATTACAATTACTTTTAATTATATAAATTAGCTTAATAATCCCATTTTATTTGGCGAGCTAATTTAGCCACAGCTTCTGTGACAGCAGCCAGATCGCTTTCCGAAAATTGCCATGGGTTGAAAGCCGGAGAGCGGCAGAATAAAGTGATGGCTCCTGCGGCTGGCCGCATATGTGGGCCAACTTAGTGGCAATAAGTTAAATTAGCATAAACTTAATTAGCATAAGAGTGCTGGGCCAACTGGGAGACAGATAGAGGCCATACCACCACCAGGTGGGTGGTGGTGGCGGTGGTGATGGTGGTGCAGGTTGGTAAGTTGGCAAGTTGGCAGTAACGGCTCTCCCCAACTCTGCATATTTCACGGCAAATCCGCAGCGCATTAAAAGAAAATACGTGGCAAAAAAAAAAAAAACAATGAAAAAAATAAGGTAGCAGGGGAATAAAAAATAAAATAAAATGCACAGCAAAACAATGAAGGCAGGCGAGCGAGCGGGCATTTCGAGTCTGGGGATTGTGCCAATGAAGTAACGACCGCACACAATGTTGCACGGCTCTTTGGTTGGATGGCAGGCAGCAGTGCGCTAAGTGACTGCTGTTATACATTTAGCCGGGCTGATGGGATTGCCGGGCGATATGGAGGAGCAGATATGGAGCTGTGGAGCTGCGGCGGAGAGAGAGTGGCCACCGCGTGTATGGGGCACAGATGAACACGACTCACCTCGCTGCCTCACCTGCCTCACCTGCCACCTGGGCGCCTTCTGGATCCCCAAAGCGTCCGGGAGCGCGACAAGATAAAAGCCGGCGTACTAAATCTGCTGTATGTGCGCCACGGGACTCCAAATGGCCAGCCTTCCACTGCAGCTCTCTCTTTCGCTCTCTCTTTCTCATTCTCGCCGTGTGCTCCTTGGGCCACACTGCGTATGAGCAACGTAGGTAGTGTCGAGTGTCCGTATTTGTCCTCCTGGATTTGGACTTGGATTCGGATTTGGCAAGCGGGCCTCATCTCGCTCGCTTTGCATATGCAAAATAATGCGCTCGAAAATTTTCCACCCGTTGGATTCACTTAGAGCCAAGGTATTCCTGCAAAATATATGAACATACTCGTAAGTGCATTCAGTGCATATGCATTTTGTTTTGATTTTACCATCAGAATTATTGTTATGGTTATAGTTTCTAGACAAATAAAAATATATGTTACCATAGAATATCAGCTTATATTTTCAGTACTTGAAAGCAGGAATATTCATAGGGAAAAAGATTATTTTTACTTCCCTGTTAAGTTGTAAAAAAAACTGTTTGAATAATAATTTTAAGTTTCATAAAACAGTTTAAATATTTTAAACTCACACATGAGAAAAGCCCTGATTTTAATATCGTCGATATTTCGCTGAAATGGCAATACATTTTGCAGCGCCCCAAAGCTCGATGACCATCATTAATGCAACCATTATTTCACAGTTTTTTTTTTATTATTTATTTTTGGCCTTATCTGAGGCAGGCCTGAAAGGGGGGCAAGTTAATTTCGGAGAACACTTTACGTGCTGCAATTTGGAGCGGTTCGGTTGCATTCGGACCCCGGCCAGCAGCACATTTGGTAAGCAATAAATTGACCGAGCAGCCAACGCCATCATCTACTTTAAAAGCATTTGTTGCCGCACCGCCGTCGCCCCGCCCCCAATCAGCAGCACTTCCAGCGATCCGCCGCCCCTTGACCTCTCACCCCTCCCCTTTTCCCTTTGCCTCACCTCCAGTTCGCAGTACTCGAAGCGGCGACGATGCTAAAAAGATACCGGAAATGTTGCAGGAAACAAAATGACTTAATGGCCGCGATTGCAACGGCATGGAATCGTTTCAGGCACCGTGCCGTGGTGCTTCCTCCGTTCTCCTTGGTCCTTGGTCCTTTTTGCTTCCATGGTCCATGGCCTGCTGGCATTCATGTTGCCATGTTGCCGAGGTCAGCATAAAAGCATAAAGCAAAGGTTACACCTCAGTCATGTGCTAAAAAAGGAATGCTCTTTCGCTGATCAACTAAATATATGTTCTATTTATTAAGAACAAAAGTCTGGTTAAAATAATATCATTTCAATAATTTCTTATTCTTGTTTCTGGTTAATATAGTTTTGAAATCACTTAGATATTTATTTTTCACAGAAAAATATTTTTTAAAGTCATTGTATTTAAATAAAAGCTGAAAACATTTTAAGTAATATATTAATAAGACGACAACCGAAAAACTTGCATCTACTTAAGGCTTATTTTGAGCAGTTCCTTAATCATTGCATAGTATTCCACTATTTTACTATACTTTCCGGATTACTCATATAAAATTGCTTCTGTGGAGATAAAAACGACATTTTCCCACCCCACACGTGATGGCCTTTGAATCTGGCCGATGATGAGCCACCATGGCAACTAACTACTGGCCATCCGAACCGGACTCTCCATATAGACGTAATTGCAATTGCCGCATCATTATCATAAGCTAAACGGGGCCGCATGCTATTGAAATGGTTTTGAGGTTTGAATTTCTTTTGAGCTGGAACATATTTCTAATTAAATTAATTAAGCGAAGCGAGAATATGGCAAATATGCAAGCCAATTAGTGGAAAATGCAAAATTAAATGTCTGTGCATGGGAAACACGCTGGGAATGCGGGGGACAGTAGTGGGAAAAGCGAGAGGACCGTGGGTGTCGCACAGTCAACTCATTGTCCTTGCACCACCCATCACCCCCTCCCCTTCCCCTCCCACTTTCCCTTCTCCATCCATGGTCACTCGTCCTGCGAAGCTCTTTGTTGGCCACTCCGGCAATAATTGCGTTGAGACATGTAAGCTTTTGTTTTGCAGTTGTGCGTGTGTCTGTGCGACAAAGTTAATGACAGCATAATTAAACAAAACTAACAGCAGACTAATAAAATGTTCATACTGCATGTCGCTCAAGGCCTTGCCACATTTTGCCACCCCCTCCTGCCCCCTCCCTCCATTCCACCTGCCACTTTCTGCCTCCATCCCTAAGTATTCCCCCTCACCCCCTTACAACTCCTTGTCGGTGTGTGTGTGTCAACGTTTGTCAAGCGACAATTAAAGTCATAATAAAGGCAAGCTGAAGACAATCATTATACCTGTGCCACGCCCCCCGCTCCCGCCCTCTCTGAAATAGTCCAAACATCCATACGCCCACGCTCTTTTCGGTTAGTTATGCATAAAGTTCGCCACAAAAGGGTATAACCTGAGCGTAAACATACCGTCACTGGTCCTGCTCGTCCTTCTCGTCCTTTTGTTTTGCAGGCATATAAATTTCAAAATTAAAGCAAAGTTTAACCTTTGTCCTTGCGCAAATGCGTGGTATGGGAGCCCATCTGCGTTTGTTTGAGTGTGCATTACAGGAATGCGAATGTGTGTGATGCCCGCATAGTTAACACTTTAAATTTATTGCTTAAAAAATTCACATTTTTCGGCTGACTACTAAACAGTTATATAAGGGATTTATTGGGCAAATAAAAGAGGAAATGTTATCAACATCAACTAAAAAGATTAAAAAGAGGAATTATAATTTTTTTGTTGTTTTACATTAGCACTTTTATTAATAGCATAGGAAAAACTAAAAAGATTAAAAAGATGGTAGTACCTACTACAAAAACTATTTTTTGTTTTAAATTGCAAAAGCTAACCTCTATAAAGCATTTATTAAGATACATTTTTTTAAAACAAATATTTTCCCTCTCTTAATATAAAATTTCATCAAAGTTCATGCGGAATGCATTACTGTGCCTCAATTACAGGATCTTACTGTATTTTGTATACTTTGTTAGCAAACTAATGCAATCCATCTGCGTTAAATAGTTGTTTTATAAAGTTTATCTGGAAAGTTATTCAACCAGCATGCAGATTCGCTTATTGTTAGTACTAAAGCCGTCAATCGCAAAGCGGCTGTTTAAATATTAACTAATTTAGTGAAATGCAGCTCTCAACCAATATTGAAGTAGCCAACAAATGAACGAGTATTTGCCTACGCGAGATATAAAAGCGAATCAAATGGTTGGGGGAGATGATTAGGCTATCGATCGACCGATGATGCATTCGACCAAATCAGCACTGCTCCTGCTCTTCCTGGCCATCAGCTCCTCGTGTGTGGTGGCCACACCCAATCCGGAGCTGTTGGAGAGCATCTTCGAGGGCATCAACAGGACCGGCCAGACGATCATCAGCGGAATTGTGGATGCCACCAAGAACGGCACCGCCATCGCCGGCGAGTTTCTCGAGAGCCTGAGGAACTCCAGTGCACAGTACACCCACGAAACGGTGGAGTTTGCCCAAAGGATAGCCGATGCTGTCCATAAAGCGGCCACCAAAGGACTCGTCGATTTCTCCTCCGCCCTGAGAGCTGCCATCTCATCGATTCACAGCGAGATTGATCGCGTGCGAAATGTCCTGAAGCGAAAGGCTCTGAAGGATGCCCTCGTCCGTTTGCAGGAGGTGGATGCCGCCGCCACCGATCTGGAGGTGGCCGTCAACAATCTGAACGATCAGCTGGAGGAGAAGAAGCAGAAGTACGCCCTGGAGATCCAGGAGAACTGGAGCAACTGGGCCGCCGCTCAATTGGATCGCGTTGATCAGCAGACGAACGGAGTGGGCAACGAGGAGGCGGAGGAGATCCTCGACGAGCTGGTCAACCGGTACTCCGGCTATCTGCACAGCTGCGTGGAGGATCTGCAGGCCAGGCAGGCCATCTTCGAGCGGAATGTCCACCAGGCGGTGGTCAAGTACCACAATGCCACCGACAACCTGAGCGCCCAAATCGAACGCTGCCTGCAGTCCAGCTTGGGCATCCTCTCCTGCAACAGTGGCATCAACAAGGCGCTGCAAGGACTCGAGTCCGCTCCCGCTGATCTGATCAGCCTGAAGCTCCAGGGACTGCGACTCCTGGCCATTGGACTCGATGCCAGCGGCTGTGTGGGCCAAACCCTGCTCGACCACGAGCTGGAGAAGCCGGCGATTGAGCGGTTGCTGGACGAGATCATCCGGAAGTACCTGCAGGAGCAGGAGTCCTCCACCGATGAGGACGACGAGGACTCCACCACCGCTGAGGCGGACGAGGATTCGACCACCGCGGACGGCTCTGGTTCAGAGGATAACTCCAGCGGCGACTCCAGTAGCTCCGGTTCCGGTTCCGATTCCAGTAACTCCGGTTCCAGTAACAGCGATTCCAGTAACTCCGACTCCAGTAACTCCGACTCCAGTAACTCCGAATCCAGTAACTCCGAATCCAGTAACTCCGATTCTAGTAACTCGGAGTCCAGTAACCTGACTCCTCGAGTTCAGATTAATCAGACAATCGTATATTAATTAGTCAGGTGTGGGTTAATAGCAGCATAATAAATTATTTTAATGCAACAAAACAGGCGACGAGTATTTTCTTAAAAAAATGAAGCCATAAAGCTTCGCATAATAATGACACCCCAGAAAAGGAAAATATAAAACAGGTAATGGGGTAAAATACAGAATGCATTCATTCGATTAACTTCGTCAATGGAAAGACACATTTTTCTGCGGTTGCTTTACGCAATCGATTTTCATGCAATTATTTAAAATGATAACTGTTTTCAGTTAATGCAAGGCAGCAGGAACTACACAAAAGTGGGATAGGAAGTCGCGATTAAAATAAGTTAAATATATATTTTTTCATTGTAATTCCTTTTTTGTTAATTTCCCTTAGGTTAGCATTTCTTTTCCTATTTAATTAAGTGAAACTGCTTACTTATGCTCTATATAAAAGCGTTTGCAATAAACCGAGTCCGAGAAAATGAGTTTTACTAAAAACGTACACTCAAAGCACTTCCCCTATTTCTAGACGTTGCAAATGAACTGCATAAATACCCCTTAAAAGTGAATTCAGAACTATAATTCACTTAAACTTATACTCACAAAGTTTTTGCTACAGTTATATTAAATAGAACAATTACACGTTAATGACAGAACTATACAATTTATAGCGCATACGCCCTGTATAACAGGGGCATTATAGAACTTTCATATAATCCAGTTGAAGTTTATATAACAAGCATTTAAAAGAACATATATATAACAATTTGTACCGTAACTGATATGCACTGTATAAAAGAAGTATGAACGAATTTGCGCACATAGCTCATACGCCATGTATAACAAAAAATATAAAAGAACTTCCAATTTATAGCTTATAAGCTCAGTATAACAGTCATATAAGAAAGCTTAGCTAGCTCTCATCACTTGTGCTGTATAACACAAGTATAAAAGAACTTGAATATTACGCATTTATAGCTCATACGCCCTGTATGACAAACATTCCCCTCACTGTTTGCGAAAGAGGAGAAATGGTTGAACCTCCCTTAGAGAAATGAAACAAAAGTGTTCTACCTTTGTTTGCTCATCTGCAATTTTATTGACTTCTTGTATTTTAATAGATCTCTTTAGTATCTGAAATTGCCACTTAACAACTAAAGACCGACTATTTGTATATGTTATGCACTTAATTGTTACGATATACTTTTTGCGCGCTAAGCCAAACAAAAAGTATACTCATTTCGAAGCATTGAAAATTCGATTCAGTTTTGTGGTAAGCCTTAAGTGATTACTTTGCATTTATCCTGCTGTCGCATGCCTAAGGACTAGCAGATGTGTCCTAGTCCACTAATTCAGAGTCTAAGCGCTAGCCTCGGAGGACTTTTCCCTTACTAAATGGTAATGTTGCACTAACAGTTCACTGGGAAAATATTAATACATATTTAGTATCTGCATGCCTTGACTTTACTTTGATTTTTGTATATTTTTTAATTGCTTAGTCTACAACACGAAACAATGGCTTAGATTACATATGAATTTCGCTTTAGGAATTTTCGGAATTTTGCTTAGGAATAATTTTGCATTAGGATTACCAAAATTGGGAAAAAATCTTTTCCAAAGTAAACAAAAAACCAAACTGTGATTAGTGATTATAATTTTTTAGTTGCTTCTATCTAGCATTGTCTGAGTATTTTTTTGTGCAGTTAGACAACAGAAAGCTGAATAAAATGTGCAATCCTCTTTACTTTTTCTGGTATTATTAAAAAATATTCTTAATAAAATTGTTGATAAATGTAAACTGTCAAAAAATCTACTTTAAAGTATTCAAAATAATTGTTGTTTGTAATTATAAGTATTTTATACTGAAATCGTGCAGGACAAAAAATTAATTTTTGGCGATGAAGTTGCTTCGAGATCCTTTTCCCGAAATAATGTTTTATTGCTTTTTGATTTTTGGGTGCCTGCGCTGTATTAATTCTAAGGTGAGCAAATGAATACACTTAAATCGAAAAGGTCAGTTCATTTGTTGAGCATTCTGATAATGGCCAAATGAAGTTAACCAACTGCACCGGTACACAACCAAAATTAATCCTCGAACTAATTGGCACAGCAATGAACCAAAGACCTACTATATATCTTCTATATGTTGCCAACCAAGTCCCTTTCTCATTGATATTCCACCCGAGCGACGGGAATCCCAAAGTCATTCACCTCGAAAACGATCAGCTTTCGTTTCTTGCGAACATTTGCCGAAGGATGCGATTGTTTGGGGCCCACTGAAGTCCTCAGAGTTGTTTCAATTGGCTTTGTCACTGGATTGGCTTTTGGCTGCTTCGTTGTCACTCTCTTCGTTGTTGCCTTCGTCGTCGTTGTTGTGCTCCTTGTGGCCGCTGTGGCAGCCACTCTTTTGATTAGGTTCTCCTTCGATGTGACTCCCTGTTTTAAAGTGTCCTTCGCACTCGATTCCCGCATCTGTTGCAGCAGCTTGGGTTTTAAATTGGGGTTGTCCTTGGGTTTATCCTTGGGCTTCTCTTTCGTCTTTATTTTGGAATCCTCCTTGGGAATATCCTTGGTCTTGGGCAGCGGTGGCAGAGCCGGAAGATCGCAACGCTGTCTTAAATGGCGATAAACTGCGTCAACCCGTTGGACCAGGCGGTTCACATACTTCGTGGTCGTCCGATCCACAATCGATGGAGCCTTGATGCAATCGTTGCCACCGAATTCGCATACCTAGTTAAGAATATAATAAAGAATTTAAGGGAATTAAAGGAAAGGCAAAACCATGCCAAATTAAATGGTGGAATGTTATATCGTTATTTAATATTCGCCGTATTATCTTATTTTTAAAAATCTCCTTTCCTTTAGAATTTTTTCATTGAATTTGTGTTATTTTTGTTTACATACCCGATAGTGCTGCAAAATGGCTTCCTTGGGTGGCACATTCAGAGAACCTTTCCCCGGTGCAAATTCCCAAACGAAATGATTGCCAGCTTCGACCACAGCCTCCGGTTTGCAAATGTACTTGGATCGCTGCTTCTGAGGATGGAGTTTATAGCGCCTGTGGAGATATTTAAACCAGAAAATATTAAATTTTATATTTAGCTATCAAGAGTGTTCACTTACCTGCGGGTTTTCCTTTGGGTAACCAGGGAAGCTCTTACACTGGCCAACTGCTCATTGCCACCTTCTATTCCCGAACTAGCCAAGCTGTCGTCGGCAAACTGGAGATAGTAGAAGGCATTCTGAAAGGAATAGGCTCCCGTGTTGCGATTGCGGAAGCGCTGATTAAGGGATCTATAATAACAAAGTATATTGTCCATTAATTAAATACTAAATTAAATTAAAAGAAATACAAATCACTCACCCAATAAGATCGTTAAGCGTGTCCGAGTATCGTGGCACAATGAACTCATCCAGATCCACCAACGCCAGATATTTGTATCGGTACATCGTGCGGTAGAGGCAATCGTTTAATGCCGCGAAGAGTCCTTCGGTGCGGATCTCCTTCTGGCTGCGCATGCGCAGATTCCACGGCAAAATGCTCACCGTGGGTCGATGGTAGTTCGTTTTGAGAACCCGTGGCGTGGCATTGTTGGCCGCCTCGGAAGGAAGCAGTGGCTCTAAATCATGAGCTGTCAGATTGCCGGGCACCAAGCCCTTTTGATAACTTTCCAAAACGCAGGAGGCATGTGGTCCCAAAGTGTGGTTGTAAAAGGTGAAGTGGGAGACACCGAGCAGGGCATAGAACTCGAGGTACTCCATCAGATAAAGTGCCTGATCGTAGTTGAAATGCAGGGGTTTCACGCAGACGGCTATTCGATCGGGTATATTATCGCCACTGGGCGGAGCTCGACCCACTGGAGAACCCTTCCTGGCACTCGCATTACTAGGAGGATTCGCTGCAAAGTCCGTATCCTGGTCGGTGTTTCGCAGGGTCAGCAGGTTACCAGGTGGAGCTCGCAACCGGGAAACCACACTCACAAAATGGGGAACGGCCAGTGGAGGAGTTCTCACGGGACACAGAATGAAGCAGGCGCTGTACTTCAGATTCCAGTTCTCACGAATTATCTATAAAATAAAATAATGATTCGTTAGAGAATTAAACTACAAACATTTAGAGGAATGTCACGTCAAAATTGGATGAAAATTGGAAAAGTTATGGTCTCAGAATCAGTGAAACCCTTTTATTCAAAGAGGGGTTGTATCATAAAAATAAAAAAAAATTGGCAAAAAAATAAAAAAAATAACTAATTATGCAGTTCGTTAGAGCAGTATTTCCCAAAGTGTGGGTCGCGACCCACTGGTGGGTCGCGTGTAGATTTTTGGTGGGTACTAATTGTCATATAGATCTTGTAATTTTTTATGTAGGTGGGTCGCGGTCCCGAAAAGTTTGGGAAACACTGCGTTAGAGAATTGAAATCCAAACATTTAGAGGAATGCAAATTCAAAATCAGATTAAAAAAAAAAAACATTTTTTTAAAAATTTTGAAAGGGATTGTATCATAAAAATTGAAAAAAAAATCGGACAAAATACAAACTTTTAGAGGTATGTTACTTCAAGATCTGATTATTTCTTAATATCTTATCCTATTTAAAGGATGGCTTTATTTGTGCGGCCAAGTGGAAAATGGAAAATGGAAAATGTGGCGGGCTCACCTTGACGCGGGCCATCACCGTGGCCGAGGAGTATTTGGCACGTGCCGAGGAGGAGGAGGAGGCGGAGGAGGAGCCCGTGTCGGAGGCGTTGGCCGGAGGGGGTCCGTACCAGAAGCGGCACCACACCCGCTCCGGGCCGCGGGTCTTGGTGGCGCCCACCACTCGGACGAGGCGCGCTCCCTCGCGGCGATCGAAGTAGGCGGAGTAGACGAAGAACTTGAAGCGGGTGCCGTTGACGACCTGCCAGGCGCCGTCCGTTGGCCGCGTGCCAAAGGGGAAGTGGGGCAGGGTCTCCTCCACCTTGCCGGGCAGCACCTGGCCCCATGGAATGAGCGGCACACTCACACCGAATGCCCCAGCTCCACCGCCTCCGCCGCCATTGAGGAGCATTCCTGCCAATCGCTGGCCATCGGCGCCTGCGGCTTCTGCAAAATTGGAAAATGCATGAGACATGCGGCGTATACGTAATGTGCCGATTGTTGGAGCCATCTCCTTTGTCGGCCCTCGCATTCGCATTACGTGGTCCCATTGTCTGGGCAGCCAGCCGGAATTGGTTCGGGAACTCACCTTGAATTTTCAGTTTATTGTCACGCAGCTGTACAAATCCTAATTTATTATCACTCAGAATGCTGGCATCCAATAGGTCATAATCCTCCTGCAAAGAAAGGAAACGGGTGAATATTATATAAAAGTTAATCAAAAATACAGAAATAGGAGAGGCAAGAATTAAAAAATTGTTCACGAAATAAATATTTGGAAAATGGTTAGTTACGTAATTAATAAATTTAAAGAAAGCTAATAAGTATCTGTGATTTCAGTAATAAAATAAGAGAGAATAAGAATCCATTTCATTCAAATTTTTTAAATATAAAAACCGGCAGTGAGGTAAAAGCTAATTTCTTAATTTCAAATGCATATCCAGGAATCACAAAATTAGCGAAGCACCAAAATTCTTTGTTTAAGTATTCAAATCGCTTTTTTTCCGACACACCTTCTGTTTTCCCACAGCTTTTCAAGGACCATAACGAACGAGTTGTCCACTAAGCCGCCTGAGTTGCGATTTGCATAAGCAAACTTACCTTAACATTATCATAATCCGGCATCGAGTCGCCCATCCGTCCGCCCAGACTGATTCCTCCGCCGCCGCCCGCCCGCATCGCCAACATTCCGCTGTGGGTCCGCTCGTCGATCATGAAAACCTGCGGAGAAAATGGGAAGGAAAATTTCAGCTTGGCGTAAATTAGAATTTCAAGTGGCTTTCATTAGAAATGCTATGACTGATTTCTTAATTAAAGTTGATAACAAAATGTAAATAAACCATTTTATGTTGTATATTTATAATATATAATTGTCTAATTGTAAATTAAATACATATATATGTTAATCTTGAAATCTTTGCTTTGCTAGTTTACTAAGTTTTAGACGAATCAGTTCTCGCTCAAGAAATAAAAATAATTTAACCTTGAAACCTTATCAGTTTAATATAATATATTCGTATATATAAATTTGTACATATAATAAAGTACTTTGATAGTAACATATTATTGTGTTAAATTTTCAGAAATTATATAATAATGGACTTTACTTAATAGAAAGGTATTTAATTTTATATACTCGTAAATGCCATGTTCTTACCTCGGTTAGAATGATCAATCCAAAGACGGCGAAGAAGGTGATGACGATGAGGAAGCTCATCCCTGATCTCTCCCTGGTGCCCCACTGCTTCTTGCCCCGCTTCATGGTGGGTGTCAGCGAGGTGCGTCCTCCGTGGTGGTGGTGATGGTGGTGCTGATGTTGCTGCTGTTTGTGTTGCTGCTGCTGATGTTGCTGCTGCTGGTGATGTTGCTGTTGCAACTGATGCTGGTAGCAGGCGTGCGAGTGGCCCTGCTGTCCGTAGGCGGACTGATAGTGACCCAGCAACTGGGACGCAGAGCTGGTGGAGTTCACGGATCCGGGGGAACCCAAGGAACCCACGGAGCCCGCGGAACCGACGGAGCCCCCCGGGGATTGCTGCTTGTACTGAGGGGGGCTCCGGCTATTCAGCATGATGGTGAGCAGGGAGCGTGGGATTAGTTTCTCGTCTCAGGGCGCTAATTTTCCCCAATTGTTTCGGGAATATATTGTATTTCAAGCACTCATGTGCACCTTATCATCGAAGCTTGCTTATTTTGTAGCATTTCTGATTCTAATCAATTTTATTGGCATGTTGTTGAGCAGCGGATTGTTTATTTGCGAATAAGATGAGCAAAACAAAGGAGATAACAGAGAGAGCGGTTCTTTTAGGGAGAGGAAAAGGATGTCGGAGAGCAGACAGAGATTGCGCTCTCGGGACACTTTTCCTTCCTGGCCAATCAAAAAGGAAAAATCAATAAAATCTGTGCAAAGATAGCCGTGAATTATTTCAAAGAAAGCGGCTCCAATCTCCGAAAATAATGTTGACTTTATGTTGAATATATTTATAGTCGACTTTGGACTTCAAGCATTGCATTTTCAATAATTTTCACTTAGTGGCTTTTAGCAAGTGCCTCAATCACACGTTCATCACCTTTTCAATGCATTTAACTCGGCAAATTAACTTTATTATCTAACCTCTTCTTTTATTAAGGTTGTCTAATTAACTTAAATTTTGTTTTCGCTAAAAATTGATTAAATAGTTTTTAGTTTTTGCGCTAACTTTCGGTATTTAATTTAAAATTTAACTCGCGTCGACAACAGCAGGAAAACAATGCGGCACAGCTGAGCAGCTCAAGGCGAAGGACATGCGCACAGGACATTGAAAGCCAACAGATGATGGCGAACATTGCCAGACATGTACGAAATTTTAAAACAGACCAAACATTAACTACAAGATCTATATTTAAATGAAATTTAATAAGAATTTTTTAAATTTAGTTCAGATTTGAATTTAGTTCAAAAACCCAACTAATTATTTTTCACCGAATTCGTAATGAGAAAGCCTTCACCAGATTTGTATAAATATAAAATACTTTATTTTTAACCATAATTAAATATATATAAATATATATATATATATATATATATATATATATAACCATACTTAAATATAAATTATTAAAGTTCTCAGGAAAGTTCACCCATTCGTTTAAGATAAATTTAAGCAAACAAAAGCGACAAGAAAATCAAAACCGCTTTTATTCACACCCGAACTACAAAAGTCCTTCAATTCTATGGCTTTCATATCCGGCCTAACTTTCCGAGCGGATCGTATCCTGGCTGGACTGGACAAAGGGAATTACCGGAAACAATAAAATTTCAAAAACTTTTGAAAACCAATAAATTCCAAGTGTTTGGAAATCAATTGGGAACAAATTGCAACAGACAAAACTCCGGGAAAGAAAAGGCGGATGAAACTGGGATGTGTGTGGACTTGGTCGCTCTCATTCATGGCATTCTCCTTTTCACTTTATATTTGGATGAGCATTTCCACCAAGCAATTGTGGAGTTTGCAAGACAAATATGCAAAGAAAAAGGTGCCCAAGTGGTTGGGGAAAACAGTTTTGTTTGCTAAACTTTTGTCATTGAGTGCGCTCAACAATAGCAATGCAATCGCCAAGGCGGCTAAGAGAATAAATTCGAATTCGAAGCTAGTTTAAGGTCTTGGGGAAAACAAACCAAATGCAATGACAAGAAAATCAACATAAATGTTGTCTCAACTTAATGTAAAGTCCATATGGGAAATGGGCAAATAAATATGCACAAATACTCTACTCTTGCCAAAATAATGTGTTTAATTTGATTATTAAATTGTAAATTAAATATCAGTACATTGTTTGGCCGTAATAATGATTATGTTCAGGTAATTGTTTAAATTGCCAAATAGCAAGAGCAAATAAAGAGATGGAAGTACAGAAGTACAAGTATCTGGCAATAAATACAACTCAGAACGAACGAATCCCACATCCCACGGCAAACACTCAACTTGGGAAAATCGGCTGCTGCACCTCAAGTGAGATTAAATAAAACTGCAAGAAAATTGAAATGAAAATTCGGCAAGGCAAACACAAATTCGAGACAAGTTATAGCGGCATCTATGAGATACTTTCCCCGGCTACCTTTTTACCTCCTCCCCTCCCACCTGGAAGGCAGTCCATCCTGCCAGCCGAAAATATTTCATTTATACAGATAGAGGCACCCACTTACATATATTTGCTGCAACTTCCACGTCGAAGAAGTGCCGCTGTGGCAGCTTAAGTTACTGCCAAACCGTCTTCCACCGGCTTCCACCGATATTGCCCCGGCATAGGCAACTTAACTTTGATGAGTTTGCAAAGTAAAATTCCCGGCGAAAGGGGGAAAAGGCAATAAGGAGTCCGACTCACCTTATCCACCGACTCAACTCGACTGCCGTGTGCGGTCGGGTGTGCTTAAAATTATGATTAAAATACCGAAAAGGATGGATTCCTGCTCGGTTTCAGCTGTTATTTAAGGCATATTAACCTGGATCAGAAAAGTAATAAAGCGATTGTGCAACATGCTTGTAAGAAAGGTCAATCAGGAGGATAACTAAAGCACAAACGACGTTAATATTACTTTTTCGTGCGAATATAATATTGCTCTCTACTTTTGTGTTGCTATTATAAGGATGGGAACATTGTTTATAAAAAGAGTTTTTAATACCATTATTTTAAAATATTTCCAAGTTATTTTTCCAAGAACATATGTCTCTAAAAATATTATCCTGAGTAATACAATTTAAAAAAAATGATAGCTTGATATGCTTAGCCTTATAAATATAAATCTACTGACTGGCAAAACTATATTACAATTAAATGAAAAAAAAACTGTTGTAATACTTACAGTCTCTTTAAAATTATTGTTTTTTTATTAAATATAATTTTAAGAAATGTTTTTAAATATAGACTATTTCCGGGCAAAATAAACACTCGACTTTTAATTGGGCAACCTACGATTAAGTCTTCCTCTGAAGACGACCGACCGACCGACCGCCTGCAATGATTTTTTACCCAACCGCAGTGGCGGTGCAGCAGCAGATATCCGTGGAGAGAAGTACGTAGCATGCTTGCAGGCATTTTATTAATTTCACTTCATTTTGATGCTCTCGTTATCCTGGGCAGAGGACGAGGACGAGCAGCACGAGGATGGGGATGAGGATGAGGACAATGATGTCTGGAAATGGCTGGCAGCACTGCGGGCGCACATCTGCCGGATGCGCGGGTTGTTTGGTAATTTCCTTAACGGAAGTGCATGCAGTTGCAGGACCATAATAGGAGGAACCCTCCTTATCCTGTCGCTCGGTCGGCCATCGGACTCCGAAGGAAGTTTACCAGTGGCCAGTGTGTGTCGGATTGCCAATCCGATTCCTATTCCTTTCCACTGGCGGCGAGTGGACTGTGAAAAATGTGTGTGGCCAAAATTTGATACACAAATTTCCGCAGCAATAAAGTGACCAAGATCCAATCATTTTTGATACTTCAGACAATGAGGATTAAAAGCCAACTATCAATTGTTATGCACTTTTGTGGTCGAGACAAAACCACAAAAGTTCGGACAACATTTGCATATTGGGCGCTAATTAATGACTAAGAAAATATGAAAATCATGCAGTAGTTTCATTTTGTTTCATAAAATTTATGGGCCAACATTAAAAGGTGTCCCTTTAATGTTTAAACACGAAATAAATTTCCTTAAAACAATTTTACTACTTTTTTACTAATTTTACAACGATTTTAAAGACAACTTGAACGGCTAGAGATTTATTTTATTTATATTAATACAATATATATTTAACATGATCAAACATACTTTTGTTAACCTTTTTAAATTTTTGTGGCTCCCCAAGAAAAAAGTTGAATTTCCAAATTAAGATAAGGGTGTGCAGAGATCCCAATCCAGGAGAACCAATTAGAGGTTAAGCCGCTTAAGTTTTAAATAGGTATTATAGCATAGGCTCAGCAATTGTCGAGTGCTTAAATGAGCCACACCATTAGGTTCAGCACGGAAAACCGGAAGCACAATTAGGCTGAGTGCCAGGGGCGTGGGCCGTGGCAAGTGCCACAAAAACTCCCTCTAAATTAGGGCCAGAAAGGAAGGAAGGAGGAGGGCGGAGGGCATCAAATGCAGAGACCACAAGTCTGAGACGATTCCGACATAAATTCAATAGAACGATGGCAATAAGTGCATTAGCAGCATATTTCACAGATTGGCAGACACGTCGCTAGATGTGGTGGTCCCTTTGGGCCACGGAGAGACCAGAAAGGACCAACCAGAAGCAGCCAAGCACACCAGACTGGCCAAGACCAAGACTAGTAAGCCACAAATTGCATGAGATCATAAATATTTCAGGCATAAAGTACAAAATATGCAAAAGTTTTCTATTTCCCTTTAACGTTCGGTTCGCCTTGGCTGTTTCCATTGCCATTTCCATTGCCATTTCCATTGCCAATGCCAATGCAGTTGATGCAGTGCTGCCGGTTTGTCCTTTTGGCCAAACAAATATTTATTATCCTAACCGAAAATCTGACCTTTAAGGGCTTGACTTAAAAAATTGTAATGCCAATAAACAAAATAGTAATTGAACTAGCTTTAAATAATCATTAAGCTCATTTTGTAAATATCTACCTTTGTTTTATAGTTTTTAAAATATATATATAATCCAATTTCTTTTTTGATTTTATCTTATTTTCGTTTGGTTTTTGGCAGCACTGACTCCTGCTGGCAGTTGGCTATTGCAGTCGCCCAGATACGGAGGACGTCAAACGGAGTAAGAAAAATATATTGCTAAATTCTCGCACAGGAAACGGCAGCAGGAGCAGCAGGAGCAGCAGCAGAGCAACAGCCAGCGGGTGGAGAATGGACGGTGGACAGGACCCTTCCCTAGTCCCTGTCCCGTAGTCCTGCGTCCGGAGTCCTGCGTCCTCCGCTGTCCGTTGTCCGTTGTCCGGCACGTGCACTACGGCAAAATGGCAAACGGAAGTTCAAAAGAGCAAAGAGCATGTAACGATATTTCGGCTCTCCTTGCCGCTTTTCCGCTTTTCCGCTTTTCCGAGTCCGAGTCCGAGTCGAATGGCCAGGCGATTGCGGGCAACAAATTTGCAATAAGCAATTTTTCAATTTTCAATTTAGGCACCAAGGCAGCAGCGGGTGGACAAGGATATGCAAAACAGCCACCAGCCACCACATATCGCCCGGCCATAATTCAACGCGCGTTGCCAAAATCCGACTCTGCACAAAGGACAAATGAGTGTCCTGCCAGTGACCCATACAGTCAGTCAGCCAGAAAGCGCTATTAATTAACAAGGACTCCGTTTTCGCGATGGACACCTGAAGAAAAGGTTTAATTTCTGCCTTGATCAGCACTTTAATTAAATAATAAGTAATACCTCTTAAATACCATCAGTAAATTAAACATTACTTATTACAAAACATTACAACATTACTAACTTCGATAAAATAATATGAAAATATGAAAAGTTTCTGTATGTCTTTCTGTTCTCATGAACTTTTATATTTATTTTTTTTTTTACACCATATACTGTCTAATATCAAGATCGCGTTCTCTGAGCTTCTGATCGATCCACTGGCGGTAGACTTTGACGTTTGTGTAAATCCCCAGCAGCTGTGGACCATCGCAGCGAGCTGTCCTGGTCAAGAGTCCTGCCAAGATGAACCGATCATCGTGACTGGAAAGTGGACACATCAAAGGCACTCCCGTCATGTCCACATCCCCGCAGACGAAATCACCTTTGTCTCCGCCGGCACACAAGAGAGTATCGTTGTGGGCGTGTCGCCTCCCCAAAAGGGACAATCTCAACTTGGTCCTGCACTGATCGGACGGCAGGACGTAGAGGGTCCACCGCTTGGGAAGGATTGCTGATCCGCCAAAGTCACCTCTCTGCCAACCGGAAACATAACACTGACTGTAATTGTAGGACATTTGTGGAGGTGGCAGGCAGATGGGCTGCACATTGGGCGCCATCTGAAAGGGTTTGTCCTTGTCCACCAGGATAATCGCCAAGTTGTTGGCCAGCGGCATTTGGGTGAAGTTGGGATGCACCACAGACTCCACCGCCAATCTCTCCTGCTGTGGTTGTGGTTCCAGTTCCACGGCGGCATCCCATTCCCCGGCAACCAGACGGAGTTTCCCCGCCTCCACATTCTGGACACAATGGGCTGTTGTGACCACTGCCAGAGGAGTGATCATGGCTCCACTGCACAGATAGCCATCTGCAGAATACACCGCCACCAACCAGGGAAACTCACCGAACTTGGCCTCCTTCTGTTTGTAGCCCAAGGGACGAAGGTAATACCAGAGATCATGGCGACCTCCACACGAACAGTTGGTGGACCCCATAGCGGAGTCAGGTGTCAAGAGCTGTAAGTTAATATAAAATTTAAAACCAAATCCATTACTTACATTTATTAAAATTAAATTCAAGTAGCAACAAAGAGGTTAAAGTTATAAAAGGGAAGGTGGTAAAAAACAGCACTTTTTTTTTACACATCACATAAAAATCAATAGAGCTAAGAATTAAAACACTTTGATAATTCCGCTTCAACCGAAGGATAAAGGATTTTCGATGAAGATTTTTTTTTTTTTTTTGACGGACTAAAATCATAACTAAAATGAATGGAAATGCAGCTTATGAATGTGGACGTCATTCAGACTGTCAGCCAGGTTAAAATAATCCCATGGGATTAAACAAAAACCAAGGGAATCAAAAAAAAAAACAAGACCTCAGATTTTATTAAAATCAAATGTGCGAGTATTAAAGCAATCAAATTCGAATCCAGTGAAGCAATTAAATTAAAATGAAATGCGCGAATCATGCACCTATATATCCATTTACATTCAATATAGTTTACATATTTTTTTTACTCACTGTATCGTGTGTATTACAGCATTTCTCCATATAGTGACACTGCTCATCCAAAGTGGTTCTACTTCGATCCGGATAGAACTTTCCGTCCACCATTAAGCCTTTGTTGCATTGTTCGTATGGAACACATTGCTTATCCGTTCCGCAGCTTTTGAATGCCGTCAAGGAAGTGGTTAGGGATCCAGAAAAGTATATGACCAAGGTCCAATAGCGCCACATATCCGCGGATTCCGATTCTGAACGGTTGAACTTGAACTTGCACTTGAACTGCGCAACTGGGCGACCGTTGGCTTTTATAGCCTCGCCAAAGGTTCAGGCCGTACACCCAGATTGGATTGGGTAAAAAATAGATTGCGACCCATTAAGGAGCTAAAAATAGTCGGCATTGCTCTGGGAAAAAGGGGCTGGACCTGGAGCAATCAAACAAATGATTCAGACGACGATGCACTCAGAAAAAGAAATAAAAACAAGGTTTAAACCTATTTACTTCGATAAATAGTATAATTTAAAAAATCTTTTTTTTTATATATAATGAAATACAATGTAATGTAATGTTTCAAATTTTGTAAATATGTATAATAAATATACATATATATATCTAACAAATTATTGAATTTAAAACACGGTTAAAATTTGTATACTTTTATGTTTAAGCTTTCAATGCTAGATCTTCCCATCGAGTGTTCGGGAACGTGACTCCCAGGAAAGGGTAACCGTTCTATGCCCAATTACGCAGATGTATCTGGCACTCTGCTCAGTCTGCCGACACTCGCAAGTATCCGTATCTATTACCGAGCATTCGAACAGGGCATTCAAGGGGCGCAATGCGAAGAAGGTTGCCGTGTGGATCAGCTGTGCGCTGCCTTCAAGTTTTGCGTCATATCTTAATGCACAATCGTCGCCTAAGTGCACGTAAATTGAATAAAATTTCGACAAGTTTAATACACAAGACATGCACACCGCACTCCGAAAGGAAAATGAGGTGGCGACGGGGCAGGTGGTGGGGCTTTTCCGGGGGGAAAATACTTAGTTTAGTTTCCCTGCCGTTCGATAGACACACAGCAACAACTCAACACTCAAGTGGAGTGCTGTGTGTGTACTTGGACATACATATTTGTTGCACCGACTTGTGTTTGGCTGGGATTTACGCAACTTAAACAGATTGTTGTCAACAGGAATTGTGAGGGATGAGACGGCATCGAGTGCCCTGAAGTGGAGGACCTGGAGGACACCGGGAGGACAAAACATGCGTCAAATGTGTAGAAAGTTAACGTGTCCGTTGGTCCTGTGCCAGTTCGTTCGTCCTGTGCGAAACTTAATTTGTTCAATCGTGTCGCAACACTTCTGAACAGATGTTATCCTTGAGGAAATGAATTCCGTTATTGTTGCAGGCCATCATCCACTTTAAACAGATTTATGAGCGTGTCACACCCCCCTCCACCCATCCGCAATCCACCATCCACCATCCACCATCCACCATCAATTCGCTTTTGCGGTGGCAAATATTCAATTATTATGAGAATTTATCATTCGACCAATTGTGTTGGACGGATCGGAAGTTCATTTTGCATGGTTGGGAACAAAACAGTTTGTATATGCGTCATGCATCCGGAAGACTATCTTTGATGCATACAAGCCGCATAATGTCATAATCAAAGGATGTTTTTGCAATAAATATTATGTAAATCGTGTAAATGCCGCTTAAAATACATACAATATTACACAAATTATATTTATAAATAATATTAATCAGAACAATGATTATTGATGGTTCAATTCACAATTAAATATACACATTTTATGGGATAGGGTTTGTTTTTTATTAGTAAAATATCGTTAAATGTCACTCATTTTAACATTTTAGCACTTCTCTGCAAGCCTTTTAACTCGTTTTGAGCCAAACATAAAAGGATTTTATCCATGCAATTGGAGCACTTTCATTGAGTGAGTAAATTATTCTCTTACCTGCAATTGCAATAAAAATAATTCTCTTAAGTGCAACTGGTTCAACTCAACTGCGGGAGGAGTGAAATGTTACAGACGGCAAACTGTAAACTCAAGACTCAAACTCAGCAACGAGTGAGCCAAAAGGAAAACATTGAGCGAACTTAACAGAATTAAAGAAGCTCAACAGATGTTAGTAACGTATGCTCAATTCCAATGTTAAGAATTTTTGTTTTTTGAACCTATTTCCCAAAGACCAAGTTACAAATATTTTAGCTTGTTTACGTTTTTGTGACAGAGTTAGAAAAATATACACGGGTGTTGTATTTCATATTACATATACTACGTTTGCTTTTATTTCAATATCAACTCAAAGGATAGCTTGAACATAAAATGGCCTACAAGCAATAGTACATTAAGTCGTAATTGTAACTACTAACTGTTTAAGGGGTTACATTTATAACATGTCTTTTGCTGGTCTTATTGGAGTGGAAATTAATAAATCTTACAATTGATAAGTCGAAGCAGTATAAAATTGTATATTGACAACTTCAACTACTCCAGAAAGTTGATACCTTTAAAGCGTTGTCCATCAAATGTAGCATTTTAAACTAAACAATCGGCTCTTAAACACTTTAAAACAGCAAATTATCTCATGGAAGCTTTAGTGTATTTCTATTATTTATAGACCTATTTTAAAACCAGCATAAGACATGTGTATGGTGAATGTGCTATCTTAATCTCCGAGGCCACGCGGTCCCTCTTCGCCAGACATCAGTGTAAACAGGAGGGTCCGATTGTAGTTTGCCTGGGGTTTGACCATTAGAGCACCAAGTCCACCCTACTGTTCAGGAGCCGTTCCCAATCCCTCTCCCAGCCACCGGAGGCAACGTCACAGGGTGTCGTTAAAGAGCCGCTTAGCCCCCTTGAAGTTAGGATGAATCGGTCCCGGTAGCACATGCGGCTTGAGAGCACTCTTGCCGGGCAGCCGAGTCGCATCGTAGGGCAACTGGGGCGACAGTTTCAGCTGGCGGTAGTAGTCACTCTTCGGATAGAAGCAGTTGCTCTTGGTCATGATCCGAACGCGCTTGGCACTGCCCGTCTGTGGTGTGGCAAACTGCAGACGCGCTGGTTGCTTGGGCGTTGATTTCTGCAGCTTGCTGTTCGCTTGCTTCAGCTGTACTTTGCGCGAAGGAACGAAGATTTCCTGTTCTCCGGGTTTCAGGGGTTCCTCCCAACCATTTGCTGGTTGCGGTGTGTCCGTCTTGGCTTTGTCATCACCAGCAGTCTCCGGTTCGGGAGTGGACTGTATCTTGGCCTGCTCCTCCTGCTTGGTCGCAGGCTGCTCATCTTTCTGGGGCTCGGACTGCACATCATTGGCCTGCTCTTCGTTTTTTGCCTTTGACTTCTCTTCCTTTTGCACTTTGGATTGATCCTTTTTGGGCTTGAGAAGCCCTTCCTTCTTGGCCTTCAACTGCTTATCCTTTTTCGGCTTGGGCGTGTCTTCCTTTTTTGCCTTTTTTGCCTTAGGCTTGGCCGTCTTTTCCTCTTTATCCTCCGCTGTTGAGTCTGCCTCTTTCACCTCCTCCACAACCCAGGCGTTGTTTATGCTGGAACGCACCTTTGCATTGTGTTTAACCTTCTTCTGCAGCTCAGGGGGCAGAGCCTTGCCAATGATCTCGTCGTAGTTGTGCTCGTCCACCTCCTCAAAATTGATGGACTGCAGTAGACGTTTGCGCTTGGTTTTGTTAAGCTTCTTGAGTTTCCTTCCAGTGCCGAAGACCTCGTCTTCCATCTCATCAATGGCGGCCACCTTCTGTTCCACCATCTCGGACAGTTTTTGACCTTCCACCTTTGGCATAGTGCGCACGCCAAGCGGAAACTCTCCGTTCTTGTAGGTCTCAAAAATTTGGATAAGCTTTCGCAACCCCTTGCGCCGCTTACTGTTGAATTCGTTGGTGCGCAGTTGTGTCTGCAGCTCGTCCAGGACGCAGTCGGCGTTGAGCGGGAGCTCTGGCATGTGCACATCCACATTGCCCGCACGGGGGTCCAGGGATGTGGCCCGCGGCTGCTCCTCGTCGGCGTTTCCCTCGTCATCTTCCTCGTCAAAGCCGGAATCCAGTTTCTCAATGTCATCGATGGAGGCGGTGGGGAAGCCCATCAGCTTCCAGGCATTGTACTTTTCGCTGTACTCGCGTCCCAAATCGCTTTGATAAAGCAGATGATACAGCACCCTGGTGCGGCACTGGGCCACCAGCTTGGCGTCGCGCTGCGTGGCCATGTAGGTGACGAACGGACGCAAGAACAAGTTGACCTGGGCGGCGCTGATCTCGCCATCGGCCGCCTTGGCCAACTCCTCGAAGAAGATATCCAAATAGTGCATAGTCATGCCGCGACTCTTTGGCTGCTCCGACAGCACAGACTGCTGCATGCTGGTGTTAAACGCAGCGATTAGGTCCGCCGACCACTGCTGCTGTTTTAAAAGGCGCAGGATATATCGCACCATGCGGCGAGTGAGCATCAGGAATTTGTCCATGCGCCACTGATCGATTCCAAAGAACTCCTGGCACATAATGCGCATGAATGCACTGAAGTAGGCCAAGCTGCAGGCCGTATTTCCATCGAAGCTGTCGATCATCTGGGCCAGCTGCTCGGCGAGTTCCTCCTGCACGAGGGGCTTATCCGACATCCACATGTTGTAGTACAACCCCTTCCAGATGCGCAGAAAGTCATCCTCGGTGAAAGGAAAGGAGCTGCTGGCCCTCAGCTTGAACCACTTGCGCAGCTTACGGATCTGGCGGTTTCGCTGGACCACATCGTTGCAGGCCAAGGCACGGACAATTGTTACCTCTTGGGCGACCACCATCACGTCCTTGCCCACCTTCGGCTGAGAGGCCTCCTCCTCCGAATCTTCGGCGTCGATAGCCGCCACCTCGGCGCTGCGCTTCACGGGCTTTTTGCGCGTCACCATGCTCCGGCTAATTCAACTTTTATTCGCGAAAAATAAGTGAGCTGTGTATATTGAATGCGGCCGCACGTGTTGCCGTTAAAGGTGGAACAAGGAGTGGAGTGCTATCGATAAATGACAACTAAAATGTGGAAGCGTTCAAGCCAAATAACGGACTGCAAATTTGGTTTTCTTTTTTAACTTGTTATTTGGTTTAGAAACCATTGTTTCTCTGAGACTTTATAAACTTTCGGAAAAAATTTATTGCATTGAATAAACTTTAGAGTATCACGTTTATTTATGAATGTATAGAAATCTAGCTTTTATTTGATATATGTTTACAAAAATAATAAATTCCAGGCGAAACCTGTGTATTCCATTTGCACAAAATTTCAATATTTTATTGTGTCACAATCAAAATCTACCTATTACATTTAAATATAGCTAAATTTTAATTTTTGCAGATTGTCACCACGATACAATTGTTGGTCACTGGCCAACACTTAACAAAGGTCGCTTGGCAACACTCTTCCCCAGCTGATAATTCGGCCTGCATTTTATAAATTTTGCAACCTAGAAAATTTAATTAAAAATCAAAGAAAATATGCCCGTGGTAAACGTTACGGCCGCTGAGGAGTACCAAAAGTACATTAATGCCGACAAGACAACCGTAGCGCTATTTGCCGCCGACTGGGCGGAGCAGTGTGGTCAAGTGAAAGACGCACTGGAGGAGCTATCCAAGATTACTGGCGAGAAACTCCAGTTCATTAGCCTAAATGCCGAACAATTCCCTGAGATTTCCATGAAGCATCAGGTAATTTTTAAAGTTTATAGCTAAAGAATGCATTAACTTATATATTATTTCATCAGATTGAAGCCGTGCCCACAGTAATCTTCTTTGTGAAAGGATCCGCTGTGGATCGCGTGGATGGCGTAGATATTGCCGCAATTAGTAGCAAATCCAAGAAGTTGGCAGAAAGCGCTAGCAGTGCTGCGGCAACGGGACAAACGCTGGAGGACCGTCTAAAGGCTCTCATTAATACAGCACCGCTCATGATCTTTATGAAGGGCGACCGAAATGGACCACGCTGCGGATTTTCCAAGCAGCTCATCGCCATTGTAAATGACACCAAGTTCGTACTCACATACCTATTACGTTTCTTATTTCTTATTTTATATCAAATAATTTATCTGTAAACAGCTTGCCCTACGAGACTTTTGACATCCTGAGCGACGAGGAAGTTCGACAGGGGCTGAAGACATACTCCGACTGGCCCACCTACCCGCAGGTGTACGTCAAGGGCGAACTTATAGGTGGACTGGACATAATCAAGGAACTGCTGGCCAACAATGAACTTGAGACCACGCTCAAGGGCTAATTCCACCAGACTGCGACCTATTCATCAGACACCTCAAATCAGGATCAAATTTTTTGCTAAGTCCTTTGACACTTTTGTAGTTTAATAAAGGATTTTAGCTACTTGTTCGTGAATTTTATTACAAATTTTGGCAAAAAGGTTGACTAAAAACTTAAAAAATAGTGGACCTTCATATTTATTTCATGGCTCAAAAAACAAATATGCTAATAAAATATTTAAACTTGTTTTCCTATCCTTGCCGTAAATATTAAGAAAGGCTAGGCTAAGAAGTGGTGGGCAAAAAACTTGCATGATTTTTTCCTGTATTTTACAACACTGAACCTTTTGTCTTAACAGCTGGCGGCTTGCATTTTATTTTCGCAACATTAATATTTTTAAAAATACATATTAAAACCCGACGTGAAACAATATTTACAAATGGCTGAGAGCAATACAGCTGGCGGCGAGGATAAGAAGTTGTCAGACATCTTTTTGACCGGCTGGAACATATTGGATGAGTTAGAAGTAACCGATTTGCCTTTCAATGGAAGTGAATTTCAGGTGAGTAATTAGCATCCCAACTAAAAGCATCTACAAATATAACACCTTACCATATAGAACAAAGTAAAGACGGCAATGGGTCTTCTCGAGCAGGCCACTGTTATTGTAAACCAAGTTAGCATGTTTAGTGCCAATGAGATGATCGACGAAGTATCTACAGAATCGCTGCCCTTCATGCTGCTCCCTTATTTTCTGGGCAAGCTTACCACCAAGATCAACAGTCCTAACAGCACACAGTCCTTGGAACTGGGCGAGATTTACTTTAAGGATCATTTGCAGCGCTGCCAGGAGTATGAACTGTGCCCTGCACCCAAATCACAGGTGGTTTCGGCGGACAACCAGGCTGAAAAGAGCGAGAAGCGGGAGCTAATAGAGGCAGCCTTCAATAGAAACGACAAAATCGCCCAGTACCGCAGGATGAAGGAAATCGACGCCTATATCGCCAAGATGCGCGAGGCAATCAAGAACAAAACGGCCGACGACGAAGACAAACGGGAGTTCTTTCTGAAGTATTTGGACAAGAGCATCATAGACTCCAAGCAGGAGCTGGAGTCACTGGGCACGATGAAGCAGCTGGCCCAGATGCGTCTGGCCCAACTAGCTGACGGAAAAGTTTACAACGAAGTAAATGAATTTAATCCATCGAATGAGCATCAACCTGCATCTTCCACCTCCCGTGGTCATGGTCACAGTCACGGACCAGGACGCAATCACCATCATCATCAGCAGTCCGCCAAGCCGAAGCCCCTGCAGCCATTTATTATCACACGCAATGCCACACAGAAGGCGGTGTTTGGTTTGGGCTATCCAAGTTTGCCCATTATGACCGTGGATGAGTTCTACCAGCAGCGCGTCGACGAAGGCATCTTCCCCGACGAGGAGAAGGTGGCCAAGATGAACCAAGCACAGGCAATTGCCGCTACCCGAGATCCCAACGAGCAGGAAGACGAGGAGAAGGCCGCTGAGGAACTCCAGGCAGAGCAGGACGATCCGGAGTATATCGACCGCATGAGACGCATGGATGAGTATAAGGATGTCGTGCGTCGCGGGGACGGAAACCGTCATAACCGAAGCTAGGCAAAACACTCATATATATTACATACTTTTCTAAAAAGAATAAAATGGATAATTTACAAAATTGGTTTAAAGCCAATGTATTCTGCAAGCAAAACTCGTATCGAAGGTATTTTCTTATCTCAATATTTATTTTAGGAAAAATATTTAATGATATTAAAACAGATACGATTTGGGACGGTTTACATTGTAGTTAAGTTAAATATTTAATCCGGCTCTGTTGAGTGTTATTTGCGATGAATTTTGAAATTCATTGAGTATGAATTTTTCAATCTTTGAAATCCGTCTTCCCTCTGATTTAGTGTTAGTAAACGTTTGAACTAATCGCACATTTTACAACACTCTTTGTCACATTCCACCACCAACAACAACAAAATATCCAACCTGAGGGCACACAAATATTGTTAAAATAAAGACGCATAAAAGGGCGTATAACTATAAAGATCGAGTAAAGGTAATAGAGAGTTTATTAGGTGTGATATGGTGTTGAAGTACATTTTCTGAACTCGGCAGCAAACTCTGCAATAGAATGTCCGTGAAAGACTTTATCAAGGGGCTGCCCATTCACGATTCGAGCAACTTTACACACTTGAGTAATGAGCATGGGATTCGAACATCGCAGAAGAGGGCCTCCGTTTATCTGCCCACTGAGGACGAGGCCTCCGAGCAGCTGATCGTGATGGACAAGCGCTGTGTTCTGCTGCGCTATCTCACCCAGCAATGGGACAAGAAGACTCTTCAGCGAAAACGTGAGCACGGAGGAGAATCTGGAAACGGCAACGGAAATAGTTCAACTCCAAACGGCAACGGCACTAACAGCAAAAAGCGCCCACGCTTGGACCCCAACGAACTGAATTAAGGCAGGACCTAATGGAAAACCACACAAAAAACCTCTCCCAACACTCATAATCGTCCCCGACCTTCGCCATCACGAGCCACCATTCATTTTCATAAATATGTTAAAATAAAACTATACTAAGTACAAAGGAGTTGCAGTCGAATTTTCTTAAGTCAAAGTCGCATTATAAATTTGCGTTAAAAAAAAACACTTGTTCTTTGTTAAAAAAATTCTAGACTTTAGAGCCTTTCTTGTAATTTAAATTGTAACCAAATTAACTTAGTTCGATTATCAGATTTTGTGTTTTTTTACGGCGATATTTTGTAATGAGGTGAATATTATTAACACTTTGTACTTGAATAGGTCAATAAACGTCTCGATTTTTTTAAATTTCGAATTCGACCATTACTTTTATATTCAGCAAAGGAAAAACTATCAAATGCAAATCTTTTCTTGGTAGTTTTCCACCTAGGCCAATAAAATTACCCTCTTAATATAGTTGCAGTAAGGAAATCTGTAACACAATATTGCAAATTTGTTTCGAATAAAGAAAGTACGACTAATTCCTTACAAAAAGAATATATAAACACATTATGAACTCCAATAGATTTACTTTTAAAGACAAAGATTGGATTTGATTTGACTATGGTATTCTAAGATTAGTGGTGACCCAAGTCCTGGGGATCCGGCTTGCCATACTGCTTCTCCCACCAAGTGACATACTCCTTCTTGCGCTGTTCTCGCTTGGCAAAGTACTCAGGGTACTGGGCCTTCTCCAGGGGGTGCCAGTAGTCCAGCATCCAATCCGGCGGGATAACCTCTCGTTCGAAGGCGCAACCACCTACACTATTGGCAACTATAGAATAACACATTATTAGTGCAAGCATACTGTGAAGTTCAATTTGTTTACAGTTCCGGGGCTGAAAATGCTTCGTCTCGAATAGCTCCTTTTTTCCGCAGGCCAGGAGTCGGATGCCTTCGCCCAAATCCTTGTTGCAGTTTTCGTCGAAGCGGGCACGCAGCTGCACAGCGCGGTAGCGGTAGTCATTGCTGGCGGAGATTGAAACAACCAAGATGCAGTTGCTCATTATATAATCTGGGGGTATTCTTTGCCAGATGCACTCACCGTCGGTCGTACCAGGCCTCCAGGTTGCGCAGTGCCTGCTTGTACAAGGTGCAAACCTGGCGCTTATGCGAGGTAATCGCACAGGGGACTTGGGCCATCGTTTCTTCCGCCTTATTGGTTAAATTCTAATAATTTACTTCAATCTCGGCAACAAACAGCTGTCAAAAGTTAAGTGTTAAAAAGCACTCTAAAATTAAAGTGCTGAACAACGCATGAAAGATGACAAATATGGCAACTCTTGTAGCAACTGTGCTTATATACCCGTTACTCAATTAAACAATTAGCTTAACAATTTTGAGTCTCAACGTCCATACAGACAGCAGGGCTAACAAGCGTTGAAAATCAGTTCGTCTTATTGACTGTAGTCATTCTTTCCCCTACTTTATACACAAACACGCATACTAACCCTTCGTAAATTATTTAAATGCATATTTCGAAATGCTTTAATAAATAATAATTTTTAACAACTATTGTTAACGTAGCTATGTATATAAAATGTTAGTCCTCTAACTGCATAACATTCATTATGCATTGAACAATATGGTCTGGTATATTTAGAGGCGTTTCGCACATATCGCCCGTCTCCTTGTCCAGCATGTAGATTTCGTTGAGTACCCGATCTTCGTGCTCTGGATCCAAGGACGAAACGAGGGCCAACGATCCCTCTGCCAGTTCGGCGAGGATTTGTTCGATATCTGGCTCGGTAGTTGACGGTGGAATGGGGTCATCCGGCGTAATAACTTCATGACTCTGATCTTCGAAAAAGTTAACTAAATATGTATCCGAAGGTCGATTGAGTGCCTCAGTTCCGGAATCGACATCGCTTACATAGGTTAGGGTGCCGTCATCCATATTGATGATAGTCTTATCACGAGTCTTGCTTACATCTACTTCATATTCTACTGGTTCATCCATCAGAAGACCGTTCAGTTCAGCTTGTAGTTCTCCCCCCGTTGGTAGGTGGCCTCCCGTTTGTTCGGTTTTGATCGCATCCTCTTGCTTAATTGGAGCCAAATCCGCCGGTCCCTCTCCTGGCACTAAAGCCGAACATTTGGGTGACCGCCGCTTAGCCTTTGGCTTTCGTTTAGCCGAAACATTTCCGTCGTTCTCATCCGTCTCCAATTCCTTGCGTCTTTTGGCCCAAGCCTGCTTGCCCAGCTTTTTGTTTGTCACGTTCTCGTTTTCATACACAACATCGCCATCGCTTAGAGCTCGTGATGCCTTACTTTGAAGCTGTGCCCGTGCACGCTAAAATTATATGTAACACATTAAATATTTCAAAATTCATATTTTAAATAATCTTTTCAAACCAACCTTTTTCGGATTCGCGGGATTGGCGCGTGCAATTTCTTTCCACTGGCGATCGTTCTCTTCCCGTTCGCGATCTTCTTCCTCCAGTTGGTCCTTTAGCTCCTGAATGTTGAATGCCTTCGGATAGAGAAGTGCCTTGTTGATCAGCTGTCCATTGGTCCGCTCCTCCTTTTTGTACTTAAGTTTTAGATCCCGACGTGAACGATTGGGAAACATTTGACACATAAGGGAAAAGTCCGTTCCGATGATCTGCAGGCTACGATAGAAGCGAACTGTCTCATCGGACGTCCAGTAGGGCGTTCGCTTGTGCCGTTTATAAAATCCATTGTCACCCGTGGTCTCATCCATCAAGATAAGGGATGAGTTTGCCAGCACTTTGCGGGCCTCCACCTCGGCTGTGGTTTCAATCTCGAGGGTTTTCTCGTCAATGATCATCTCACCGTTTGCGTCTAGCTTTAGCTGCGGCACCAGCATGGTGGATGTGGGCTCACCCTTGGCCTCCAGCAGCTGATCCTTAGATGGTTTGGCATCCTCCCCGTTTGACTCGTCCTTGATGGTCGTCACCGACTGTTTGGGCACCATGGGATTGTTCTCTGGATTGTAGAAGATCATGTCCATCATCTTGAACGTGGACTTGTCGGGCACGCCCTTGTTGAACCGCGTCTCGAAGTCCCGCCGGGCATTCAGACGCTGTCCACCTTGGCTTTGTGACTTATCATCCTTTCGCTGCTTGCTGCCACCCTCGGAATAAGTGGAGCAGGTGGACTCGGTGCGGATGCGTCCCATTCCCGGACTCATGACCGGCGGTAAGTATTTGTAGGGTGACTGAGGCATAGGGGAAGCTACCATCTGCTGGGGAGTTCCCGTCGAGGAGCCACTAAGGTACCTCTCTCGCCGCGTGGGCGTGGCCGGAGATTGATAGTCGCCCTCAAAGTCCCCAGCCATTGGGGAACCGACGAAACTGTTGCGCCGTTGCCCAAAAACTGGAGTGGGCCGAACGCGTTGGCGGGCTTGAGCCTTACTTGGCGACATAGGAAACCCACTAGCGGTCTTTTGTAGGTCCATCTGAATGACATTGTCCTCAATGTCTGAGTGAAAGACCTCATCGCTCTGTGCCACTGAGCTGGTGGGCATTTTGAAGGCGATTGCATCAGCTTCGAGTTCGGACTCCGCGGGGGTCGATGCAGCGGTGGGCGGGGTTTCAACCACTGCAGCCGCCACTGCCTCCTCCTCCTGCGGTTCCACCTTCGGCGCTGGCAGTTCCTCCTTGCGCGGTTTTCGTTTGATGAGCGACAGATTGGCCGGAGCCTTGATGCGCTGTCGCCGCATAGACATCCTGCCTGGATTCAATTAGGGTTCTTCTTGGATCAGAGACAGTTTCACACATTAAACCGAGTTGAAAATTTGCGCAACAAAAACAATGCGGCACCACGAGTTTCTTAAGGGTAGTGTTGGCTAGCGTCGAACGGCAAGGACAGTGGGCTGAAGCTCTTGAATACGGAAGAAAATGGTTCGTTTGTTGTACATCTTATAAAGTTTTTAAGCGATATATAGAAAGATTTCATTGATTTTTCACTCTGGCAGTAAAATAAATTAAAAGCAGTACTTATGTGGTTTTGATTAAAGTTTTGTTTTTGAAAAACGAATAATTAATAATTACTGATCGCAGCTGTCAGGTCTCAGCGGACGTCTGTCGTTTTTCAACACTGTTGCCTGTAACGACAGAACAGCAATAACAACAACAACAACAGCGGAACAACTTGAGCGCGCACCAATAACACAAAGCAGCAGACAAATTGCAGGTTGCACGTTTTTTTTCCTATCGGTCAAAACATGATAAGCCCGACCAGAACATAACCCAGCTCTCGTGCAGTAAGCTTCCGTCAAACCAATCGATTGTGTCCCGGCTAAAAGTACTAAATTCCCTAAGTTTCGAAGCGACAAATGTGCCATTTGTGCGAACGCACAGTAATAGCGAAGGAGCATTAACAAGTTATGCAAGCGGGCAGCCGCCGTCAGCCAAATTGAATTAGCCGGCATGCTGCTCAATCGATTTGTGCTAGCCATCAAGAACCAGTCCCGCGAAACGCTGCGCGCCTGGACCTACCAATGCGAGTCGATATTTGCCCAGCGGTCCCGTCGCATCCAGCAGCTCTTGAGTTTCTACCAGTCAGTCTATGGAACTCAGGGATTGAAGCAACTATGGAGAGCCTATTACCGTAGGGAGCTGCAGCCACCGCTCCGGGGTATGGTGATGAGTGCGGTGGGCCTCGTGGGGCTGAACATTAAACGGTTGGGCAGCGATGGCTTTGACTGGAACAAGGAGCGACTGGCTTTATCCAATTTTGATCTGTGCCGCCGGGATGTTGAGTTTATCAATGCCCTGCCTCACAATCAACTCTGCGAGCGCTGCCAGTCCAAAAAGATGAAGTACTGCTACTGTCTGCTGGGCAATCAACGCTGCAGGAAAGGCCAATCTAATCCCTCGACCAGCAAGGAGGAGGCTGAGGCCGAGTCCAGCATCAGCAACTGCCGGACACCACTTGGTCTGGATACGCGCAATGCTCCAGCGGGAACAGTACACATTCAGACCCAGGACGACCACAAGTGGGAGCCCTATTTCAGCAAGAACGAGTTCAGCATTTGGCGGCGTGAGGAGCGATCCTCCTTGTATTCCTACAAGGTGATAGTTGAATCCGTAAAATTGTGTAATCTATATTAAGCTTCTAAATATGTACACTAGGTTTATGCCCGTTTCGACGACATCACAGCCGACGATTTCCTTCACGTTCAAACCGATCTGGACTACCGCCGGCAATGGGATAACACAGCCTTGAGACTGGAGCTCATCAGCGAGGATCCCGTGCCGGGCAGCAACTCGCATCTGATTTATTGGGAAATGCAGTGGCCGCGACTGTTTGCCAATCGTGACTATGTTTATTGCCGTCGTTACATCAAGGACGACAACAAAAAGCTGATCTTTATCTGCAACCGCGGGGCCACGCACAACACCTATCCGGCGTTGTCTGGGAAAGTACGCGTAACCGACTACTGGAGCCTGATGGTCATAAAGCCCTTCCGCAGCTTCCACGAGCCGGGGCTGCACTTTGTGCTCACATACTATGATGATCCTGGTGTACCCATACCGCAGAATATCAAGTCCTGGGTGACCCAAAAGCAGATGCCCGAGTTCCTTACCAAGATGTACGTGGCCACCAAGAATTATGCCTGTTCGCGAGCCATCAAGATGAAAGACATGTTTCACGGTTTCGCCCTTATAAACGATGATTATACGGCCAACGAGCAGCGCGGCAGCTGGCTAGGAAGTTTGAGCCGGCGTAAGGGCAACAGTAAACCGGAGGCAGAACGCTAGGTATCCTCTCTAATATCCTCCCGCTCACATCAGACCTTCCTGCCCCACAGAGCCACTAATCAAAGAAACCACACACATAGTTTCTTCATCAGTTCACCCCTACCTTCCACTGGGAAATCAATTCAGGCGAGACTACACGAAGCCACAGAACCCCAGAGCAAGTGTGCAATAACTTTTGGTTTTTTTCGCTCATAGAATGTGTGCCACATTGATGAGGAGCTTTAAATATAAATATATTTATACATTAGCTACTTAGCTAAACCAAAATATATTAAGTTTAGAAATTGGTTTAAACGCAAATAGAAATTATTGAAATTATTTGTACAATAAAGAAACATACATGGAGAAAGTCTGAAGTCTGTAATAACGCAATATCTTGCCTAACTATTGAAACTCAAGGAATATTTCTTAATCTTGCATAACACCTATATAAATTCAATCATCTAGATTATGTTTTTTCATTATGAATAAATATGTTATTTTGCTTTATTACTTGTGCTTATCAAATCATGCTGGCTGGCCCGCATTATCTTTTATACCATTAAAATTCCTCACCTAAGCTTGTTGCTATTATTATCATGGGCCAATTTTTTTTATTCTGCTGTATTTGCAGGGGACTAAAGTAATCTACATTGTTTTTGTGATGTTATTTAAATTGAATATTCACTTTTTTTTTGTAATACAGGCATCTGTGTAAGAGCATTGGTAAACGAAATTATTCTATAATTTGTAACATAGTTTATTAGTAAGACATCCACTTTGAAAATGCACATATATTCTATTTAATATTCGATAGTCTAGACGACTTTTAAGGCTGATTGTTAACGAAACGAATACGGTTAGAGCTAATACATAGGTGAGATTGGAAAGTAGTGAGAGAGAATCATAGTTACACTTGGCAACAGCGTATCACAGCTCTGTGCGGTCCGCTGAGCTCGGCGGGTTGTTCATATAGGCAATGAAATCCTTGCTGGTGCGTCCCCCGTTGTAGTCCAGCTTGGTTTTGAGGTAAGAAAAATACAGGATAGTGGGATATCCGCGAACATTGTACTTCGCGCAAAGAGCCGCGAGCTTCGTACAATCGATAGCCACAAACGCGACGCGAGGATCATCCTGCAAAGCATTGGCAGCCGCTGTAAATTCCGGTTTAGTGTGCTTACAGTGTCCACACCCTTTAAAAGGTAATTGGTTTTTAATTAACTCGATCTTTAAAGATTAATTTTAAACTTACAAGGAGCGTAAAACATGACAAGTGCGTGCTTCTTTCTTTTAAGCGTTGAACTGAATGTTTCATCATTTAAGAAGAGCACCTCCTTGCTATCTTCCTCTTCCTCCCAGCTCTTCTCCGGCGGAGGTGGAGGTGGCGGTTCCTTGGGATCTCGCATAAATTCCACTATTTTCGATGCCTCGCGCACATTCACCTCAAACTTGAAGACGCCGTTTGAGAAGAATTTGACGGTTGGATAGCCCTTGACTTTGAATTTTTCGGCTATTGACGGCTCCTTTGTGGCATCTAGTGCAGCTAAAAGGCCGGGAATCTTTTTCTGCTTCATCTCCAAGGCGGCCTTCTCATATTCCGGCTTCATACGCTTGCAGTGTCCACACCATGGCGCATAAAACATGACCAAGGCGGCCTTCTCGTCCTTCAAAGCCGGTTCAAAGCCCTGCGTAGTAAGATGGACAATCTCCGAATTGGTGTCTGCCGACCAATCGGGTTCTTTTGGCTTTGGGGTGGGCTTGGCATTGGGATTGAGCATGAAGGATACCAGAGCGTCCTTATTGTTCTCTCCCTCGTAAGTTAAGCGCAGCTTTCCGTTTTCAAAGTATATCAAGGTGGGAAATCCTGAGAATGCGAGGTGGCTAGAAATAAGTTTACTTGAATAATTATATTTTTATTGCCTTACCCGTTATGTTGAACATTTTGCGTATGGGAGCGTTCTCTATCCGCTCTACATTCATCGCGGCAAGGATATATCCACCTTTAGTTTTTAACTCAGTGGCCGCCTTGCTGTAATCAGGCTTCATTTTCTTGCAGAAACCGCACCAGGTTACGTGAAACATGACTAGCATGGGTCGAATGTCCTTGCGCAGGTGCTTTGTAAAAGTGGCGGCGTCGCTGAAGTGCAGGACATCTTCGCCGGCTGGATCCTCCTCCCAGGGAAGATCCCCTGAAGGGTCACGCATAAAAGTAACCATGGAGGCGACAGTAAGCTGCCGGTCATAGTCCTTGTGGAAATCGCCATCCTTGTAGTGCTTAATGGCATAGGGATCAGGTGAAACTTTCAGCTTCTTGCACAGCTTTTTACGATCCGGTTGACCGCAATCCAATAGCAACATCGTTCCAGTTCCTCGTACCGCCTCCGCAGCTTCGCGAAACACCTTTAATTCGGCCACGGCGGCCTTGGCATTAGCAACATATAGCGTCAGAACATTATTCTTGGTTCGTAGCAACTTCTTGAAGTCCTTGTATTCCACTATGTCCTCCTGAACCGCGGAAGTTTTCGTTTTAGCGGCAACAAGTGCCACCAGCAGAAGCAAAACAAACTGACCCGTGATCCACATCGAAACGCTGAAACTTTACACTTATATTTAACGGAATGATTTGTTTGTAACTATAGTATTCAGTGTGCTTCGAGTAATTGCATGTTTTATACAGCTTTAACTCGGCATTTAAAATTTTTCTTTAAAACCGCAGCTAGAAGACGTGGACTTGTTAAAGAACCTATCGATAGCTGGCTTGGTAGGGATGGTAATTGGAGCATCCATTAAAGTGCCGGCTATGGGAAAGTCTCCTGTCCCATCTCCAGACAGTGAAGTAATTTTTTAAGTCTAGCTTTAAAAAAGCTTAAAATCAATCTCTTAAAATAGAGTTAAAAATAAGTTTACATTTTGTATACATTTAAGTATACATTTTTTTCCCCGATTTTGCTATAAATGTTTTACATTTTTTTAATGTTTTACATTATAAATGTAGTTACATTTAAAAATGTAAAAAAAAAAATTAGGAATCACGCTTTCCGATGCTTCTTATTAATGTTTGGATCCCGAAGTATGTAGATCTTAAAAAAAAATTTGTTTCCTTCCCCATTTTTAGCAAAAGCCGCTAAAGCACAAGTTTTCTTTATTCAATTGGGATACATTTTTTAAAGATTTTGGCCTCTTTTTGGGAAGCTATTTAACCGCCTAGCTAGGCTTTACTTGGGAAATAAAACACTTCACCTGCCGTTTTCGACTATCGATAGGTTGACAGCGCTTGTACGTGGCAGGCGACAACCCTAGGCCAACTCTGACACATTAACAGGAGAATAAGAAGAAGAGCAGCGGAGGCAGCAGCAAAAGAGTTTTTCTGGTCTTGCCGCAATTAAATTAGTGTTTTCGCAGACAGCCGTAGTTTGCCCAAACCGTGTAAGATGCCTCTTAAACTGGACATCAAGCGCCGGCTGACGTCGCGATCGGATCGGGTCAAGTGCGTTGATCTCCATCCGGCGGAGCCGTGGATGTTGTGCGCCCTGTACAATGGCCACGTACACATCATGAACTACGAGAATCAGCAGATGGTGAAGGATTTCGAGGTCTGCGATGTCCCAGTGCGCTCCGCTCGCTTCGTGGCACGCAAAAACTGGATCCTCACCGGCTCGGATGACATGCAGATCCGGGTATTTAACTACAACACGCTGGAGAAGGTGCACTCTTACGAGGCTCACTCGGACTATCTGCGATGCATTGCCGTGCATCCCACACAGCCGCTGGTGTTGACCAGCAGTGGTAAGTAAGATCGGACAGAATCCTGTCACCCAATCAGGGTCTGTTTACTTAACACGCCCGCTGGGAAGTATGCTTTGGTTTTGTATCTTACTCCTGTTTGGTTTTTCCTTCCAACAGACGACATGCTCATAAAGCTGTGGAACTGGGAAAAGATGTGGGCTTGCCAGCGCGTCTTCGAGGGCCACACCCACTACGTTATGCAGATCGTATTTAACCCCAAGGACAATAACACCTTCGCCTCCGCCTCCCTGGATCGCACGGTTAAGGTTTGGCAGTTGGGCTCAAACTTTGCTAACTTCACGCTGGAGGGTCACGAAAAGGGCGTCAACTGTGTGGACTATTACCATGGTGGCGATAAGCCCTATTTGATTTCCGGTGCGGACGATCGGCTGGTTAAAATCTGGGACTACCAGAACAAGACCTGTGTCCAAACCTTAGAGGGACATGCCCAAAACATCTCGGCCGTGTGTTTCCACCCGGAGTTGCCCATTGTGTTGACTGGTTCCGAGGATGGCACCGTGCGCATCTGGCATTCGGGCACTTATCGTCTAGAGACCTGTCTCAACTACGGATTCGAACGTGTTTGGACCATTTCCAGCATGCGGGGCACCAACAACGTGGCCCTGGGCTACGACGAAGGCTCCATCATTATTAAGGTGGGCCGCGAGGAGCCAGCAATGTCCATGGATGTGGTAGGAGGCAAGATCATTTGGGCTAAGCACTCGGAAATGCAGCAGGTTAGAAAAAATTATATTTCATTGCTTGTATCGATATACTCAATTCCCTTTTATTTGTAAAGGTGAATCTTAAGACAATTGCCGATGGCACAGAGATCAAGGATGGCGAACGCCTGCCTGTGGCCGTCAAGGATATGGGCGCCTGCGAAATCTACCCACAAACGATTGCCCACAATCCCAATGGTCGTTTCGTTGTGGTCTGCGGCGATGGGGAGTACATCATCTACACATCGATGGCGCTGAGAAACAAGGCCTTCGGCTCCGCCCAGGAGTTTGTGTGGGCCTTGGAAAGCAACGAGTATGCCATACGTGAAAACAACGGCACCGTTCGCCTGTTCCGCAACTTCAAGGAGCGCAAGAGCTTTACACCCGAATATGGAGCGGAGAGCATCTATGGCGGCTACTACTTTGGCGTGAAGACCTCCTCCGGCTTGGCCTTCTACGACTGGGAAACATTGCAGCTGGTGCGTCGCATAGAGGTGCAGCCGAAAAACGTTTTCTGGAACGAAAGCGGTAGCCTGGTTTGCCTGGCCACAGATGACTCCTACTTCGTTCTGGGAGTGGACACAGCTCAGGTTGCGAATGCCGTGGAGTCCAAGGAAGGTTTGGAGGATGACGGTGTGGAAAGTGCCTTCAATGTATTGGGTAAGTGGAAAAAATTAAACCTAAACGTAGATACCATCAACAAATTGGGGCAAGAACGTTATCAAATATCTTATCTTGAAAATGTGGCTCACGTTTTTTTTTTCCTGAAATAGATAAATTATTTTCATCTGATTTTCAATTCTTTCTATTGTGATAACTTTGAAGAGCATTAACATATTTATTTCATCATGAGCTCAACAAATTATTTTTTATAGAAAGTATATTTCATCAGAGATGTAACTTTATGTTATAATTTCAGGCGAGGTCTCGGAATCCGTGAAGACAGGCCTGTGGGTGGGCGACTGCTTCATTTACACCAACTCGGTCAACCGCATCAACTACTACGTGGGCGGTGAGATTGTGACAGTATCCCACTTGGATCGCACAATGTATCTGCTGGGCTACGTGCCCAAGGACAATCGCCTTTACTTGGGAGACAAGGAGCTAAACGTGATTAGCTTCTGCCTGCATCTGTCCGTTCTGGAGTACCAAACAGCGGTGATGCGCCGAGACTTTGAGCGAGCGGACATAGTGCTGCCTACCATTCCCAAGGAGCACCGCACCCGTGTGGCACATTTCCTGGAGAAACAAGGCTTCAAGTCGCAGGCCCTGCAAGTGTCCACCGATGCTGACCATAAGTTCGACTTGGCCCTCCAGATCGGGGAGTTGGACTTTGCTCTTAAGCTGGCCCGCGAATCGGAGAATTCTCAAAAATGGTCCCAGCTTGCCGATGTGGCGGCGCGCAAAAACAATATGGCTTTGGTGAAGGAGTGCATGCAAAAGGCAAACGATTTTAGCGGTCTTTTGCTGCTTTCAACCGCCTCCGGCGACGCCCAGATGCTCGAGGATGTTGGAAACGCCGGCTCCGCCCAGGGACGCCACAACATTGCCTTCATGGCAGCTTTCCTGCGGTCGGACGTCCAACGCTGCCTGGAGATTCTCATCGAGACAAACCGGCTGCCCGAAGCAGCTTTCTTTGCCCGCACTTACCTGCCCAGCCAGATGTCGAAGGTGGTGGAGCTGTGGCGCGAGGAGCTGGGTAAGGTGAACGAGAAGGCTGGCCAGTCGCTGGCCGATCCGGCTCAGTATACAAATCTCTTCCCGGGCTTGGGCGACGCGCTGCGCGTGGAGCAACATCTACAGGAGGAGCGGGCACGCAAGGCCCCGGCGCGTCTTGCGGGTCAATTGCCTCTAAATAGCGAGCGTAATCCCCTCCAGGAACTGCTTGCCGTCGAGCAAGGTGGTGCCGGTTCGCAATTGGAGGAAAAGGCAAAGCCGACTTTTGTTCCCGCTCAAGCTGTCGCCACCAGCAGCAAGGTGGCTGAGCCTTCTTCTGTCGCGGATGATGACGACGACCTGGACCTGGAGATCGATGGGATCACGCTGGATGATAATATCGACACGACAGATGTGAACCTGGATGACGACTTTTTAAGCGACGATTAGGGCGGGCCGAGATCGTAGCCAGATCTAGAATACCATTTAAAACTATCGTTTACTGCTACGGGAGTCACACATTTCGAGCCACAGAATTCCGCGCATACATTCACATTTGATTTGATTGAATGTTGTTTAAATATATATCTATTAATATTATGTACAACAATAATTGAGCAAAAAATGCAATAAATACTTATACAACAAATTCAAATCTGGCGGGCACTTTTTATAACACTTCGATTGCGCTGAATAACTTATCGATAGCCGGTAAAAGTCTAACGGCTAGATCATATAGCTGCACTGAAACAGAATAGTACAAGATTATTAATAATAAAATATTTTAAACATAAAGAAACAGGAGTATGCGTATAGGTATAGGTATAATATTGAAACACTTCAAATAAGTTTAAATATTTAAAAAAAATTGGAATTACGTAAAACGATTAAAATATCTATAACTGGAAACCTTGTTTTTCTTTGGGGTGGATGTATGGACCAGCTGAGTAGGCTCAGTGACAAAAGTCCGGCAACCACGACCATCAGTATACATACATACAAAAAAAAATCGTGTGTGCGTCTGGATTTTGCTGCATTTTTTATTTAAGAATGAATTATTAACTAACCATTAATAAATTATTATTAAATAAAAAACAGTAAAAAACCGTAAATCAACCGTGAGTAGTCCTGGCAAATCGGCGGTAGCAGGAGTTATTCGTTTTTTCCTTCTGCATATGCTGCTCGTAGTCGTATCGATTTTTCAGCCACATAGTACCTTAAAAAAACCCCTCAAAGCAGATACACACCGAGTACTACAGAAAACCGAGAGAAACAGGAACACCATGGACCAGGAGAACTTCCACGGGCACAACAGCCTGCCGCAGCAGCTACAGAATCTGCACCTTCAGCCGCAGTCGATCCAAAATCCCGTCCAGACGGGATTCGCTCCACGGCGGCAGTACGATAACTTGGGTGCCCTAGGCAATGGCAATCCTGTCGCCGGTGGAAGTCCGGTCAAGGGTGCTCCGCTGGGGCAGCGACCGGTCAAGATTAAGAAAGAGAAGGTGGTGGCCCAGGTGGCGCAGCATTCCCAGTCGAGCCAACTGCAGGTGTTGGAACTGGGTGATCCTGTTTCAGGGGTTGTGGGACCAGGAGTACCCGGAGCAGCCGGTCTGATTGGGGGCATCCTGCCCAGCGATGAGGCCCTGAAATTTGTCAGCGAAACAGATGCCAACGGGCTGGCCATGAAAACGCCCGTGAGCATTCTGCAGGAACTGCTCAGCCGACGTGGCATTACACCGGGCTATGAGCTTGTCCAAATCGAAGGAGCCATACACGAGCCGACCTTCAGGTTTCGCGTGTCCTTTAAGGACAAGGACACGCCCTTCACGGCCATGGGTGCGGGTCGCTCGAAGAAGGAGGCCAAGCATGCGGCGGCCCGTGCGCTCATCGACAAGCTGATCGGCGCGCAGCTGCCGGAGTCACCGAGCAGCTCCGCCGGTCCATCGATGACTGGGCTCGCGGTTGGCGGAAACGGAGGAGACGGCAATGCCAATGCCACTGGCGGGGGAGAGTAAGTTTGGCCCATAAAGATTTATTGATCTGCTAATCGATTTACTTGCAGTGCCAGCGACAAAATCGTGGGAAACCCAATTGGCTGGCTGCAAGAGATGTGCATGCAACGGCGATGGCCGCCACCATCGTACGAAACGGAAACGGAAGTGGGTCTGCCCCACGAGCGGCTCTTTACGATCGCCTGCTCGATCCTCAACTACCGGGAGATGGGCAAGGGCAAGAGCAAGAAGATCGCCAAGCGGTTGGCCGCCCACCGCATGTGGATGCGACTGCAGGAGACGCCCATTGATTCGGCCAAGATCAGCGACAGCATCTGCGGCGAGTTGGAGGGCGAAGTGAGTACCATCCAAGACACCAGCAGCACATTGAGCGAGAGATACATGCGCATCTCAGAAGAATTTACTTTGCTTGAGATTTAACCCATGGGGTGCCAAGCATCCCACTCTTTTGACGCAATATTTATGCATGCCTTTAATAACAGACTGATAACATATATTGGTTGCGGACTATTAACCTAGAATACTTTTGTAGACAATTGTTCAGATTTTGTTGAGATGTCCGCTTTTTTTTTATCGATGCTATATTGTTATTGTTTATAGAGCTATGCAATATTTTAAAATCAACTAAAATTTGTGATACATCCAAAATGTTATACTAACCAAATGTTATAAAACTTGTTTTATGTCCTCTAATTTCCCCACTCTGGAATGACCAAATTAATCAGTGTTTGTTTTTGAACCTTTAACTAATTTAGTTAAAAGTTTTACTTAACACTGTTAATTAGTAAATTCTAGAGTGATGTTTTGTTACAATTTAGTCTGTCCCCTTAAAAATATTCGATTTTAGCTTTCATTTGAATAATAAAACAACCAATTTAGTGTACAATTTTAGATTATTATTATTAGTAGCTTAGAATCAATTACACAAATGTTTCCAAAAGTTGTAAACTTTGTTTTATTTGTTGATTTTGCGGTTTCTTTTGGTTGGTTCTTGTCCTGTTTCTATACTTCCGATTTTCGTTCTTTTATTAATCTTAAAAGCAAGTATAGTTTGAAGAGCTCAAACTTTTAAAGCACCCTCTGCACAATTTCACATCCAAGCGATATGTTTCAACTCACCATTTAGCGTGGTTGATTTCGATTGTGTGCAACATAGACTGGAGAGAAAGAAACCAACAACTTTGCGCTCTTATTTACAGCCCCGCAGTAGCGAAAGTTATTATGGTGAATTGAAAGATATCTCTGTGCCGACACTGACCACGCAGCACAGTAACAAAGTATCCCAGTTCCATAAGACCCTCAAAAATGCGACGGGCAAAAAACTGCTCAAGTTACAGGTAAATTTCACTGTCACCTAATCACACTGCATCAGAGCATTAGTTTTGATAATTTTGACAAGATATCTGTTGTAAAAACCGAACTTCTCAAAAAGCTTTTAAAATATTTATTGACTTATTCTTATTCTTATTCTTATTTTCTTTTTCCCTAAAAGCTTTTTGCATTAAACAACCGAATTTAATTAGGTTTGGCTTTGTTATTAATATAATTGGATTAGGAAATGCTGCAATTCAACAAAAAAACTTCTTTAAACCCTTTTATAAGTTTACTTAATTATAAACTTCACATTTTCCAAATTTTTTAATCAAGAAAGTATTTTCTTCGGAAGTTCGGTTTTTAGTTGATTGTGTTTTAAGCCCTTGTAAATACTTCGTATTTTAAATACACTTTTATTTTGAGTCTGCGCTAATGTGGTGCCCTATGTTTTGTTTCCAGAAGACTTGCCTAAAGAGCTCCAAAATCGACTATATTAAGCTGCTGGGCGAGATTGCGACCGAGAATCAGTTCGAGGTGACCTACGTGGACATCGAGGAGAAGACCTTCTCTGGCCAATTTCAGTGTCTGGTTCAGCTCTCCACGCTGCCTGTGGGTGTTTGCCATGGGAATGGACCGACGGCTGCCGATGCCCAGCGCCATGCCGCCCAGAACGCTCTTGAGTATTTGAAGATCATGACCAAAAAATAGGGGCAGCCAACTGCATAGCAAAATCTGAACGCACACCACGGACCACGAAGATTCGGCGGAAGCAATTGAGGACTCTCGATAGCTTCCTTTCCGGGGATGCACCTAGCACCATTTTTGGCTCATGGCGATATTATGTTTAGTTTGTTTTCCATTCACCGATTCCTTTGATTAGACAGTTGACTTTTTTCACTATATATGTAAATGTTCATATATACATAACTATACGTACACTTGCATATACAGACAAGTGTTTAATCTATATTGGAATCTTAAAGTCACTTTAAAATGTAAAACTCCCAAAAACGAAACCCAATGAATCCAATGAAACTATCTAACTAGGCTTAAGGCAAATTGCGTGGTAGGTCTGCGGAGTTAATAAGGCTTATGAATATATGGTAATTCGGTATTCGCAACTCGAGTTGTCTTGTTTACTTGGGGGTTATCACTGTTTGTGACTTCTAGTGATGGAAATCACTGGTTTCAAATCGGAATAAAATAAAAACTACCTTATTAATGCCTGGTTTTTAATCTAATCCATTCTAATCAAATTTGTATTCAATTATATAACCGATATTATTGTTTATATTTGTTAATCACAGAACATTTTTAAAACCTTCCAATTCAGCTCAAAATTATCCTTAAAGTTCCCGTTTTCAATAACGTAAACTAAGAAATATTGCCATGAAAAGTTTAATTTTAATCAGTAAAATAGTACCTAAGCTAGATGGTTATATAAATTACTCTATTTCTTCTTTCGGTCCTGCGTGCACTTAGGACAGAACCACTTTCCTTTGGGTTTTGTTGTCAGGCCAACGCAGGCAAAGTGGAACCATTCGATGGGACACTGAAAGTATGGTTGAAAAATAACCATTTGAATAAACCATCGCTTGCATGTAAAAGAAATACGTACGTCAGGATTGTCGCAGCCAATCATCTCGCCATAGGACACCTGGTGGCACAGGCAATATGTTGGCTCATTGGGATCGACGGGCATGTCCATAACATCGCTGGGATGTGTGGCGGCTGTGTGGCACGATTCCTTCTCCGAGTCATCCACCTCGACGGTTTTCTGTATGAATAAGGCAACCAAAAGTTTTAGAAAAGTTTTTGGATGGCAGTGACATGCATAAGTGAAAATGCAAACGATAGTCTGAATGGAGAATGCAGGATATCTACAGGGATAAGCTAGAAAAAATATAGAAATTCTTCTACGTTGGGCGAACTAAAACTGGGAATTGGTAAACAAACTAAGATTCTAACAAAGCAGATGAGAATGTGGATGGTTTACCTTTTGTGCGCCCCCTTGCGAGTTTCTTTTTCTTGATTTACCTTGGACTTTTTCTTTTTGGTACCTTGTCCGGTATTGCTGCTCGTATTGAGACTGGAATTGGCATTGTTTTGGCTGCTGCCACGGCCAGTATCCTCGTCCGAGGATGCTGATTTTTTCTTTTTACCCGTCGTCTTGCTGTCCTTGGTTTTTTTGCGACCCTCTGTAACAAAGGATTAGATTGGTGCTAGAATCGAGGAGTACACAAATCCTGCTTACTTTTGGCAACCACTTCCTCGGATTTGGCGCGCGTGGAGGAGGCCTTCTCTTGGATCTCGCCCTCAAATCGTGCCAAGTCGTTGTCCAGTCGCCGGATCTGCTTGTCCACCAGTTCGTACGTCTGGATAGCCAGCTGCACCTTGTCATCACTGTATTCCTTGGCCTTTCCGAAAAGAGCCTTTATATCCTCTTGGCGCTCCTTTCGCTCCTCGTCGCTCATGGCCCCGTTTTCGCCTAGCTTCCGCATAAAGTCCTTAGCATGGCTATCGATGCTTTTCATGGCCGTTTGAGCACGATCGTCCAGTTTCCGCATCAGCTTAAAGTTTCGCTCGAGCTCGGTTGGCAAACTCTCGAGACCTTTTAACAAAGGGTGAGTTATAAAAGTTTTCTGTAATTCGAAAACGCCAATACGGATTTACCATCGAGATAGTTCTCCAAGTATATAGCCGACGACATCTTTTAGATGAATTTTACGTCTCTAAGCGCAATTTAGGATGTATAAGCAAATACTAGCGTCTATTTACTATTCAGCAACAGCTGTTGTTAATGCGTGGGAAGATTAGACATGACAACAATGTCCCTCGATTGTACAACTTATCGATAAACAGACAGTGGAAGCAAATCTCAAATAATTGTTAAAAATAAATTCTATTTATTAAGTATAATGTAAAGTGTAATTTTTTTGGGAAACTATTTTGTTTGACTTGTCAGAATCTTACAGGATAAACCAAGATCATAAATATGACATAAATATATGAGATCATATGATGACTATCGACATTACGATAGTTGGCAACTCTGTCTCAACAAATTGCTATTATTTGTTTTGACTTGAAAGCTGTAGCAAGAATTTGTCCAATTCGTAAATAATGAGCGCCAGTTCCGGAGGATCTTGGATCAATGCCATCTTCGATGAGGTAGCCCTCGAGGGTTTGGAGGGGGTGACATTGCCCTGTAAGTATTTTTCATGTTATAAGCCATTGTAAGCATCGTTTCCTTTCTCATTTTTAGATCTTTGGGAACTTTTGGCCAGGCGCCTAGAGTTTCATCCCTCTCCACTGCCGGATCGCATTCGGGAGCAGGTGTGGACCTTGCTGCTTCGTGCCCCATCTCAAAAGATCGAGTTCTTTGAGCTGCCGGCAGAAAGACCCCTAATGCCATACTATGATCGAGCCAAAGACATGGACGAACAACTGGGTTTGCCTGTTGTGCCGGAGAAGTGCCCCTACATGTTGTATTCACCTGCCTCTGTGCAAGAGAATGGCGTCATGGGCAACTGCACTTCTTTCAAAACGAGGAAACTAATTTCGGCCAGTGATTTGCAGGACCTAACTGCCGCCCAGGCCACCGAAAAGCACGCAGGCAAGCTGGTCGTGGTGGCTTCCCAGGAGCTGCGGGAGTCGTCTTTGACTCCCCAGAATCTTATGTTTCCCAAAAACCTACCACTGCCCAACTACATCTTTTTGGAGGCCATTGGTCGATCGCGCTATAGCGGGCTCACTACCGGAGGCCCTTGGTCATTGATGAACTATAGCAAGGACACTGGAATACTGTTTTACATTAAGTGGGTTATAGCTATGGGTCTTCATAATATTTTTTTTTCTTTTTCTATAAAGCAAATTAATAATTAAATAACATTTTTACAGAAACAAACTGCTGACATTAAACCTTATAACTACTCAGAACTATAACGAAATTAACAACGGGCGCATCTTGCTTTCTTCGCTGCTGATACTACCCCGATTTCATCGAGTCTACAAGAACCACTCTCAGGAGAACCTCGAGAAGCTATACTTGGAAATAATGCGGACGAGCAGTCGTCAAATACTTGTGACCGACATTAGTGATATCCTGGGACGCCCAGCACATTTTAAGACTAAAAAGCTGCTAGTGACACACTCTTTTCGGAAGTTCTTTGAGACGAAGCAAGTGGAAAGGTCTATTAATGTGGTGAGCAAGTCGGGAAAGCCGTCCAAGTCGACCACACGCAAGGTAACTGTGATACAGCTGCGCAATCCTGATATGCAACTAAAGGACCTCTACAAGAGTGAGGAGAGCGAGGAAAGTCCGGTATCCGAGTTCCTAGATATGGCTCACTGCCATTTGGACATGCCACCCGAGGAGGAGGTACTCCGGGCCGTGGCAAGATTTGGCAAGCGTGGTCTTAATAGCAACGAATTGTGTCACTACACGGGTATCAACGCCAGCTCAATGCGTCACTTTCTCAAGCTGATCAAGAAAAACGGACTTATCAAGGAGTACACGGAGCAGGTGGGGAAGAGCCGCCAGTTCCGCTTTGTAGCTGTGGAGCACTTACAGGACCTCGAAAAAGAAGACGTGATAAAGAGAAAAGGACTGGAAATCAAGTGCAAAGATGAGCCGGTAAGCAAAACTACTATCTCAAAATAGATACTTCATTTTATATATTAACCATTTCTTTCCTCAGACAATTACCGAAAGCACAGAGGTTATTCTTAAGGATTTGCCGGAGATCGTGACGAATGCCCGAACCATTACGTTTAAACTAAAAAAGACCAGATCGGCCTATATAACGCAGCGCCAAATTGATCGTCAGAAACGGATTGTAGGCCAAATTGATCAGAACTGCTTAGTGCCCCTGCACCGGATTCTAAAGAGCCTCCAGGAAGCGGAGCGCCAGGCAGGCTACAAGGACTGTCTTTGCCGGCGTTCGTTAATGCGCTTGTTGCGTCCCTTGGTTGAAGACGGTGTCGTAAACGTGTTCGAGGTCACCCTTCACTACAAGCAGCGAGTTCGCCTTTACCGCTTTGCCACGCACCCGAAGATCGGGCTTGATCATCCGGTCATGAAACGGGAAATCGTTAAGCTGAAGAGCAACTTTCATTTGCTCTCCGAGGAGCGTATGCGGCGGCCGTCGCTGATGCCTTTAAAGGAGCGCAAGGAGGCGCTCGCCCGGCGAAAACTAATGGCAGAGCGCCCAAGTGTGGTGGCCAAGACTCAGGCTCCAAAGCTGCTGCTGGCCAGGACATTGCACGAATTCCTCTACTATCTGTTCCACGAGCTGTCTCCGGAACAGCAGCCCCTTACTGTCACCGCCGAACTTTTGCAGCACTGGCAAAAATCGGAGCCGGCGTTGCAACCGCGCCAGTTTCTCGAAGACTGGCAGGCGGAGGAGGAGAAAATCCTGCCCTACACCAAAGACATAAGCTGGCGCACGTTCATACCACCGTTACCGCGTTATGAGGACAAGCCATCTGGCTGGCTTTACTTCATGGACGCCATGGACCGAATGCCCCTTTCGCTCTTCCTGCGCATCTGTCGCATCGAACGCGAAGCCAGCGATGAAGTGCGTCTACAGCTGCAGCATCCCATTCGCCAGCACTACCTTCTTTCCCAACTCAGATTGGAGGCCATTGTGCCTCGACTGAAGTTGCAGCAATTATATGTGGGAACTCTGCGGCTTCTTAACAACATGGGTCTTATTCAGGTATGCGAATCGTGATTTAATGATTTTTCCCTTTTTGTCAAGTCTTCCTTTTTTTCAGGTGAGCGAGCAAAAACTTGGTCGCGACTCCCTCCATCGCTGGGTCTTTTTAAATCAGCGCACTCGCTTATTGGACACCACATCTAGCACGGAGCACAATTACATGCAGGTCAGCGCTGATCGCTCGTACACGCAGCTCAACTTTGAGTTCACCAACGCAGATCAAGTGGGCAACTATTGGGCCAAATTGCAGCACATCTGCATCTACACAAAGCTGGGTTACCGCAAAACTTTAAGCTCACAGAGCAAGCTTCCGGTTCGTCTAAGGATTCTAGCGTTCCAGCCTACGGTGGAGTTCGATCAGGCCGTTGAGCTGGACAATGGAACGGTTCCGGGCGATCATTTGGGAGCCGCTGGCCTTGGCTCGCATTTGTTTGCGCACCAGTTCCGCCACTGGTCGTGGGTGCAGCGCCAAAACATTACCAAATTGGCTGCAGCGAGGGATAAGGTAAAAAAAACAGCTCGGAAACGGACAACCATAATGCGTCTGAAGATGGGACCCCGGATGAATATTCGAAAAACTCGTGAAGTGTCATCCGGTAAGACTACCAAAAAGAAGTCTACCGGTCCACGTGACGACATTGACCGGGATGCTCTGCGAAATATGCGCACATTACGCGTTAAATGGGCGCCCGAGGAAGACCGCCTGCTCAAGATGGGCCGGGCCGTTTATATGTTCATAGACGCACCCACGGTGACGCTGGCCTTGTGCGACTTGGGCATCGTTTGCCGGGATCTGATACGTCGCTGGCTGGGCATTTGCAACAAGACAACTCAGGCATGTGTGCGTCGAGTGCAGTTCTTAGTTAAGATGAAGCGCGACATCCCAGACGTGCCTAGCTGGATTTACGCGATGCAGACGCAGCCACAGTTTACCTCGGTCTACAACGAACGCTTTTTGAGTCAGCTAAAGCGGGACTACCCGAATAAGACAGATTTCCAAGGGGCGCTGATGGTTCACTTTGCCCTCTTGATGGCCAAGCTGCAGCGAATGATTGCCAAATCGGTAAGTATGATGAAGGTCTACTTTATGTCGGGATTGCTCATATTAAATTAAGAGGTTTACTTCTACATTCAATATCAATAGTACTTGTTTAATTCATGAATCAATTTTTATTCCAGCAAGGTTCAGTAAGTCGGCAGTTTCTATTGCCAGACTCATTGGACGCTTTTGGTAACCAACTGCGCGACTGTCGATCAGCGGTTGAGGAGCAGCAACTGCTTTATCAAGACCCCGCTACGGAAACGGATCTTCAAGTGGCCGTGGCTCAGGGAGTGCTGCACAGCAATATCTGCTGTGCCAAGGATAAAACGCTGCTCAACTTGCAGACGTTTGAGATCTACAAACACTTCTCTGAGGAAGTACTGAATGCAGCCTTCAACAAGGCGCGCGCAGATTCGCTGCTAGTTGCGGTGAAGAGACGAAACATACAGTCGGCGGCAAGTCGGCAAATCACAGGACCTGGTCATCTACTGAGCTCGAAGTACAAGTATCGGTTAATCTTCACCAAGCTGACGCACCTTGTCTACGACGGCTACTTTGCATTGGATCAGAAGTTGAGGGCTGACCAGGAGCAGCAACTATCGTCGCCACACTTGGCTCAACTGCTGGTGATGGGCGAATGGTTATCGGAGAACAGGCTGCGTCTTTCGCTGCAACTGCCGGCCAATATTCTTACGGTGGACACCTCCAACATGGGGCGGCAGAGTGGATGTGCTTCGGATCGCATTTTGGATCACTACAGTTGCATTTTTGACAACGCTCCGCAGACCGAATACTCCAAACGGTTGGAAGGAGAGTGTAGTGGCCGCCAAGCATCTCGAGTGCGTTTCCACCCTGCCAACCTGAGCTTCCGTTTGCCCACCAGTGCGTACAACCAACTCTCCAAACTGCCCTTGCGTAGCATGCACTTTTTCTGCGCCTTGGATGCTTTGAGCGAGACAATTACTATAAGCCAGTCACGCTTGGAGCAGGGTGATTGTCCCTTTACCAACTGCATTATGCGCAGCGGCAACTATCTAAACGCTGTGGAGCGGATAGCCCACGAGCAGAGGCCCATCCTGCGACAACTGGTGGCGGACGCCCTGCCCTCACAGCAGTTCCAGTTGGAATCTCACCCTGCGGGAACCCCAATCACATTGAACACTTCGAATCTTCTGCCTCTTGCCCAGCAATTGGAGGCTTTTTGGCGCCGGCAGCAGCAGGCGATGGAGCTCAAGGATTTGGGCAAACAGCTGGCCGATCGAACCCTGCAGAAGCTCACCGACTGGCGCACAATTTGTGCCGAGCTGCTCGACGACGAACCACATTCGTGGGAGGCGGAACGTGTTCAGGAGTACGAACCGGCATTGAACAAAGAGGAGCGTGCCCGGGCACAAGATGTGTTTGTGGTCCATTTGCCAACAATCGGCATGAAGGTCTCAGAACAGCCAGAGAGCAAATTGGCAATTGATAGCCTGCGCACTTCAGTGCTTAACAAAGTTTTAAAGTAAGTTTTGGTTGAAATCTTCTTTGGTTTTTAGAAATCAACTCTTTGTTTTTCTTGCAGAGCAACCTACTGGCAGTATACCGAAAACACCTTCGAAACCCTGCGACCAACACTCGAGGAAAGGGGATTCGACGCCCGTGCCATTAGGTACATGGAAGACATCCTAAGTCATATTGAAAAACATACCCTTGGTGTGACGGGTTTGGAGTTGCGCAGGATTTTTCCCTTGGGCGACTTCCTCCTGCAAACTCTACACCTCCTCAGCGATCACGATCTCGTCAAGCGTGTGGGCATAGTTAGTCATATGTACGTTCACAAAAGCCACATCCGCAACTGGGTGGTACACACATTCCACATCAAGCGATTGGAGCGTGAGAAAGTACAGCCCATGGTGGCAGCGGCTCCGGGAACACTTTTGGCTGTTGTCAATCACAAGCGAAAATTGGAGGCCCAGGAGACAACCAGCTCGAATCCGGAGAAGAAAATTAAACTTATGGATCAGCAGAGCACGGAAAGTGAGAGCGACGAGGCAGGATGTTCGTCTGCCAATCGTCCCAAGAGGCTTACGCGAAAGGAGCCAGCCATTGAGGTTGCTAATTCCGCGATAGAGGCCTCTCGCGATGCGATTGCCATGAGACCGCAGCCGTGGATAAGGGTGAATGCATCTCTTAACCGTCGCGTACTCGATCGTTGGTTGGGCACCGTTCTCAGCGAGTGCATTGCCCGCATCGGTTGTACTGTGCACAGTTTGTTCCTGCGATTCTTGCATCTGGTGCCGGTAGATATTATGTTTTTGCTGGAACTCCTGCACGATCTTGGGTGTCTTCAACTCATGGAGATGAGGCCGCACAAGGTGCACGTGGAATCGCTGCTGGACGATGATGAAGAGGATGGTGACGAGCAGCCAGTCACGGAGCTTTACGATCCAACGCAGACTTACATTCAAGTTCATGGCAATGCTGTTGGCCGTCTTACCAATTTTATTGGGCTTAAGAAATACAGCACTGAGTTTATTTAGGGTTTGTGCTTAGATATTTTACCTTGTTTAGAATATCAAAGTAAATAATATGTAAGCGAATTTGATAGTTTTGTAAACTTATGTTTGACTTTCATTAAAAAGTTGATTAACTTTGAAAACACTGTGTAAAATTTTTACTGCATCTGCAGTCACATTTGGACGCCCTAGCAGAAATGATAATAAAGGTTGCTTTAAATAAATATTAATTAAAAGTAATTGTTGTTTAGAAAACCGACACCAAGTCAATGCTAAATGCAAAGAAAGCTTTTTACGTAGCAAACGATTTATCTTTCTATTTTTGATAATCAAACATTTAATTGATTGTTTAAAATAATCCATGATTAAATATAATCCACATTGTTTGATCTGTGCAGTGTCCACTTAAAAACCAAACTTCAGAAAACAAAAACACGCGAGTTTTTTTTTTTTTTTGTACCGCGAATTCGCATTCGTGGCGTTTGTTTAATTTTCAATTCACTTGTTCCTTAAATCCTGGATTAACTTTAGCACATCACTAACGCCGTGGAGAGGTTGGATCTGTTTACCGCTTGCCTCCAACGCGGGGAGCAGCCTTCTGCGTGACCTTGGCGGCCTTCTGCTTGGGCGCGGACTTCTTGGCGGGAGCTGGGGCAGCAGCCTTCTTGGCGGCCTTGGTGGCACGCTTCTGCTCCTTGGCCACCTTGATGGCCTGGTCGCGCTGCGCCTTGCGAACCTCGGGCTTCATGTTCCTCTTGGCCATGATCTCGGCCAGCGAGGCACCGACGATGGCGCGCTGGAACTTCTGGGTGCGGCGGGTGCGCTTCTTGGAGGCCTCCTCCTCGATTCCCTTGCGGTGCTTGCGACGGTACAGCACGGTCCACGTAACCTTGCGGGGATTGCGCTTCATCAGGTAGGAGCGCTCGCACTTCTTGTCCAGGAAGGTGAAGGACTGCAACGGATGCACTTATTAGTCATTATATCCCTAGAATATCCCGGATAACCTACCTTGCCATCGACCTTAACCATGGTCTTGCCATGACCGGGGTAGATTTTGTACCCGCTGAATGCGCACAGTCCAATTCTGTAAATCAAAACACACTTGTTAGTGAGGGTACTGTTTACTTTCGTCAAAATGGCCTAATCCAATGCAAAACAACGCAATTAACCAGGCATTTTGTCGTTTTTCGGCATCATACTTCATCTTGCTGGCGTAGAAACACGAAAAGAAAAGAAAACGGAAGTGGAAACGAGAGGCAGAGCCAAATTGGTGTGACCGCCACTGAAGAACGAAAGGGGTTTAAAAAAACCACCACGTGCCGACATAGTGCTGTTATTGCAGGGCTGTTAAGCGCACTAATTTTAAATTTTAAAATTAGGGAGGGGATTCCTAAGAAAGTTTAGTTTTGATTTTTGAATCGATCAGAAATTTGTTTGTAATGGGTAAGGTATTAATTAAATAAGTTAATAACGAATATATTTACGCCTGCCCCTAGCTTAGCTTCTTTTTATTGTTCATACATTTAAGGTAAGACAAATTTATTCGGGTTTCTCAAATTCCTCTTCTTCAGTATAGTTGGTGTGCAGTTCTCCTGGGCGCAAAAGTTTTCCAACATACGGATATTTTTCCCTGTACTGCAGGTCCCACTCCCTCAAAGTTTTCATCTGGCTGATTGAAAGGTCGCACAAATCATCGAATTCCTCGCTTTCATTCGAATCCACTGAGAAATTTATCAAGTTTCGTGAAATATCCCGTCCGGCGTAGTTTGGATAAACACCATGTTGCCCGTAATAGTGAACAGATCGCGATACATCGTAGACATTAAAGTTTATGGCCACCAGGAGTCTACCATCCTTTCGGGTTCCATTGTATTCACGAAGCTCAGACACCGTGAAGTCCTTACGAAGAGGTTGCAGTTTCTGTTGGCCGCTATCCTTATTCCATAAATTTGTGTCTGGTTTCTTGGTTTCCTGTTTACCATGACGTTGATGACGACGTCGTGAAATTTTCAAAACCTTGTAGAACACGATGGTCGAGACAATCAAGACGGTTGCATTAAACGGCGTCTGCTTAATAGCGTTATACAAACTCGAGTACCAGGTTGCGCTTTGATTCGCAATCCTTGAATTGCCCGCCATGCTTGTCATCTGAAATAATAAAAGGTAATAAATTTATTAAAGTACGAAAATGTATTGAAGCACCCTCAGTGTGCTTAACAATTTTTACTTGTGAAAACTGAACGACGGTGTTTGTTGGACTTATTAGATTAGCCTACTTGGTTCGTTTTTATAAAATACCGGTATATATGGTATATATCTATTCATAAAATTAAAATATACGAAGTCGATTATGACGAAATCTGGGGCATCTTCAAACTTCAGATTTAAAAGGACAGCAATAAATTCCAAATTTTAAACGACTTTTAAGACCACCATTAACATACAACGCTTTATAACGTTTTTTAACATGACTTTTTATAAAGTGCTACAACATAATATTGATTGTAAATGATATTTAAGATGCAGTCTCGAAAACAGTACGTTCCATGGCGAAAACACGCTTGGCTCGCTTTGTGGCTATAGCTTCGACTGCTTCATTGAAATCCAAAAGAGCCTTGGAGAATTCAGTATCGCTTTCAATAAGCCGGAGGAAAATGGTGGCCTCGTCTTCAACTTTTGGCTCTTGCTCCTTTTTCACCTGAGCCTTCTTCTTCTTGGCCTCGATCTTCTCGCGGGATTTGCGTTCCTCCTCCAGATGAATTGTGGTCAGACGCTTCTTCAACTTGATTTCCTCCACGCGAGCTTCCAAAAGTTTGCAGCGCGTTATTTCCCGTTCAAACATCTGTTGGAAAATATACGTAACTCAAAAATGGTTATTAATAGGCATTTGAAAGCTTCACTTACCGACATCATGAGAGACTTTTCCTTGACCGTGGCACTTCGCATACCCTCTTCCAAACGGAGCATTGCACAATCGCCATTTGCTAGACTCACGGTCAGAATCGATCCATCTGGCTTGAACACCAAATGGGTTACGGCGTGCTTAAACTTGACCGTCAGAATTGGTTGTTTGTGGGACATCAACAGGTCCCAGAATTCCAGATTACCCTCGACATCCCCAACGCAAAACAGGGAGCAGCGCCCAGTGCTCCAGGCGCCACTAATCACTTGGTTTTTCCGGCTGAAGTAAAAGGTACTTGGACAATTCTTGACCTCCTCCGGACCAAATGCGGATCCGCCAATCTCCAACTAAAAGGAAGTTCTTCACGAAGAAGGGATTACGCATAACAGCGCGAATGGGTCCTTGGAAAAGTTTATAGGCGTTAACGAGACTTTCCTGCGGAGTGGTTCCCTTGCGATTGCCCACGAAGACATAACCCATATCGCTGCCAATGATATAACGCACCGGGATGGTGTACTCAAATTCCAGAACAGTAACGCCATGTGCGTCCTGTCGATTTTGCACTGTCTTGGGATCCGGCTCGGCCAGGACCTCATGCACCGGCATCAGGAGATCTCGGGTATCCCAGTACTTGACGGACCCGTCCAACGATCCGGAATAGAACTCAGTATTCAACTTGGAGTGTACCCAGCAGAGAGCCGTAGTGGCTTCGCGATGAGCAGCTTCCAAGGGACAGACGCTCAAGGGGCCACCCATGTTGCTCGTTTGCCAAAAGCTCACCTGACCCTCTTCGTATCCACCCACCATATAATTCTCATCCCGCATACACACTTTGGCTATCAGAAGCACTCTTCTGGTATCGTAGTAAGCAACAGGACGTGTGGCATCGTCCAAATCCCAAATGTAAAATGAATTCGAGTTTTCGGTTCCAAAATCCGGCAATATGTACTGTGGTTCCGTGTAATTGGGCAGTAAGCTCCTCGAATTGGAGAATGTCAAAAGAAACTGGCTGGGCTCGTTGTTGAGCCACTCACACGTTTTGAGCTGACGTGGTGGAATCCAAAGATCGTGGAAAATATTTATACCTCTGGCTGCAATTTTCATGTAGATGCCACGTCCCAAATCTTCTGGCAGATCCGTAAAGAAATCTTCATAGATGTTTATTGCATTGTTGGCCGAACTGATTTGCATCACATTATGCATGAGTTCATTTACTTCGATTCCCCAAGAGTCATCGCGTTCGACTTTTTTGCGATAACGCATTGTGGATTCCTCGTCCGCGACGTTCACCTCCTTGATGTTCCACCCGCCCTCGTAGTGATTGAGGCCATGCGAATCCAGGGTAACATTGTGGGTCAGCACCGAGGATGCGGCGTACTGCTCGCTGAGCTGGGTCTTCTCGTTGATCGGATTGCGCAGAATGTACTTGAGACGCAGGCGGCCACTTGGCTGCACACTTAGGATCATCTCGTTACGGTCCGTGAAGAGGCACTGCCGTCCAAAGCGACGACGCTCCCGCGACAGGATAAACGTGTTGCCCAAAGTACCCATCTTGGTTAAAGCGAATCTTCAATCTCTTTGGAGCTTTTGCCAAATATTAACGAATTTATTAGGTGATTAATTTTTTAAAGCGCCACAGGCCCAGCGGAGGAATAACTCTGATTGATTTTTCTCGGAATAATTGGAAAACTTACAGTTCAATGGAAAATATAAAAAGAAATTTAAAAGTGAGTTTCCTTGTTTAACAAATCTAGGAATTTGTCAAAGGCCGAGCTGAGTATAGTAAGATTTGTGATTGATTTATCTCAGAAAGCCAGTTAAAAATCAACTTTGATTTTTCAACTTCGTATTTTTTGTAACTTTATTTCATTAGTAAAAGCTAAAATGTAACATTCAAATAACAGTTTCCGGTTGGCACTTATCCAGCACTGTTGCCTTAGGGTGGCCATTTTTTGGTACTGTTCAACGCCTTAGTGCTTGCAGTGCGAGAAGTAACAGGTACTCAACTTACGGTCACACTAATACATAAGAACGCGGAAAACATTCAATTTTTTCGAAAGACAAGCGTCGAATTATCCAATTAACTAGTGCGCCCATAATAGAGCAAGCTTTGTTGCGTTGGCATTGAATGTCCAAAAACGATTAAGAGCAATTTGCAGTATGGTGGGTTTGGTCAGTTGCAAATCGTTGATTGTGTTTATAAGTATGAGTATGTTTTGTTTTAGAGATGGACCTGCAACAGTTCCTTTCCTTGGAGCGCCAGCAACTGCAAAAGGACCGCCAACGACTGGCTAACCAAAATCAATGCCCCGCCGCCTTGCTTGTGAAATCCTCCGATTTTAAAGTGCAATGTCGCAGGGCCAAGGAGTTTAGAGATTCCATTGAGGCAACGGAGTCCAATGAACCCACTACACAATCGTCTTCCTTGGCAACCGGCGGCCAAAACGAAGAACTCCACTTGGACTTGCAACAGGGCGAGGAGGTGGTAGGTGAAGAACCTCCCACCGAGAAGGAGACGGTGCCCCCCAACACCTCGAAATCGACCAAGGAGTTCGCGAATCAACGCCAACTGCTCGTCGGCAGCGCTCGCCAGTACAAATCGCCAGATGCCTCGTTGCGGCGCAATTTGGAGAACGAGCGACCGCTCAGTGAAAACCGCTTGCCAATCCGTCGGTCGGTAAGTACACTGAACGAGAAATCCGCAGCATAAGATGATCAGTTAGTCGATTTAAATCTGTACCTAGATTACGGTTTAAAAGCTAACAATTTTAATTCACATTTGTTGTAGCAATCTTCTGTGATTAGTTTTTAAGTTATATATTTTTTTTATTTAAAAACAGTTCTATTTTCTGTGTACATTCAGAGATTCCGTTTTATAACTTTGAGATCTAGAATGTGCGTTGCGCTTCACTGACGGTTCTTACCGCATCGCCAATTTGTCAGACGACTGGCCATAAATGTGCGAAATTGGTTTCTCTACGCCTCGTTGCGCTACTCATTACTTTCAAGCATATTCAAATATTTTTGGGATCTTTGTATCAGTTGCACATAGGATTTCATAGTGCTCTTAACTCTAATTAGGTGTGTAACATTCGGTGAGTTTCCCAGATTGGGTTTTTCTTTTTAGTTATTCTTCCTAATTAACAACATTTTAGCAAAGCTTTCAGTTTCTTTTTTTGCTCAGTTATACATCTCGAATTGTCTATAAATCTTCCCAACTGAATCAGTAATCAGTCTATTTCTATTCTATTGCAATGTCAGGCTTTCAGCAAAGGAAATTCAAGCTTGAGAAGTTCAAATGTAATTAAAAATTGCAACTCATTTGAAATTGAGCTACCTATGTAAAGGTTTCAACTTAAAAAAGTTCATAGAGTCATAGAACTTGTGTTTACATACTGCATTTACAATTATGACAGTGAAAGATATTTAACGACTTCGGATTAGCTGAGTTGGCTTACCCGTTTTCACTTTTAAATTTGCATTATTTATAAGGTTCTCGCAGGGCCAATAAATAATACCTAGTCCATCGTTCACCCTTTTTTAAAATTGCATGGCCTATTGGTTTTCACCGTCACCTGTCTGTGGATTTGGGAACAGCGAATTAAGTTTGGCGTTTTAATTATTCACATTATTTCTTTTGAGTGCTCCGTGTTTTGTTGCGTTTTGAGTGCGGCCTCGTTTCCTTCCGCTATCAATGTTGCATGGCCCGTTTGTATTTGCTACTGTTTTTTTTTTTCTATAGCAAGTCCATTCCGTGCTCCAGTTACCAACAATTACGGCTCTGCTGTGAACGAGCCATTCGCTTAATGAATTTGCTGGCACCGCTCTCAGTTGTAATTCGAAGCTCGTTTGTTGCGTTTGCTTTTGTTGGCCTGAACTTGAAATTACTTAGCACACACTCGGTTCTTATACTCGGATATACCCTCAAAATATAACTATATGAGGTGAGCGGAAAGTGGGGGCGTGCCCCTGATTGCCGGCAAATCAAACCCAACGAACGGAACACAATGGAAGAGTCAGTCTAATTGACTTGATTTGGCAAACCGGCAAGCGCCACAAGTAAACCCAAAAATCAAAGTGACGTAAACCAAATATTGAACGAATTCTAAATATACCCAAACTGACACGCTTCAGTTAACCCAAAGAAAGTTTAAAATTAATTGTCAATCAATCAGCAGCAATGCAGAAAAATTTATCAAGGATACTCCCCTTTTTAATTGCTAGGAACTGACATTTTGGCTTTATGTAATTTTTAATCAAATATTTGTATAACGAGTTTCTCTGTAACGCGAGTTTCTAAGTAACTTTCATTTTTGTCGAGTCATATCCCTATTTTCTGTCCATTGGTGTGAAAGTGCACAAAGTACACGTGCTAGCCACGCCTTCCTGTCAACTCCGCCCTGCGATGGTTTTCATAAATTCCTAATGATAATTGATATTGAAGTCCCCTTTTCCCTTGCTAAAAATTAAGAACTACAAGCTAATTTTTAAACAACAATTTCGTTTAATTACCCAATATATTTAAATACTATTTTTGTGTATATGCACAGAAAATGAACTATTGCTAATGAAAGGGAATCAAACACGGAAACTCGAACCCTATTAAAATTTACCTATGTACTGTGAACGAAAGTCATGACCTGGACAAGGTTGAAACCAGACAACTTGTAATTAAACTGCTTGTTAGGGATGGTCAAACTAATCGTTTCCTTTTTGTTAGTCTTTGTGACGTAGTTAAGGGTATATTGAGGTCAATATTGAGGTCCGTTATCCTGTTTTAAATTCTTTTGACTGGCCTTGAACTTACAACGATGCGTGGCGACGACAAAGGCATCCATTCCCGTTCAGCTTTCACACGCATTTTCATTAGTTTTCGCGCTTTTCGCACACAAACTAGCTGGCACTTAGTTAACCCAATTTTGATGCGACACGCAATCAAATCCGATGAATGGGCGTAGTAAACAGAGTCGTCAAAAGTGTCGAAGCCACAGTGGGTGAATTTTGTAAAGGGTTTCAAAAATATAGTGATATTCATGATTTCTTAAAGAATTAATGAGCTTAACAAACGTTTACTTTTAAATTCTAAAGAAAAAGTAAGTTAATTATAAGAAATGTTTATTCGATAAAGTGGGGGATTACAGTCCTGATTTGAGGGTGCAACCCACTGTTTTCAGGCTCTTGACTTCGGTAAATGAGGGAAAAAAAAACTTAACCCAGACGAGCTACCTTTTCCCCCATCTAAGATGAACTGCGTGACCCCGTAATTTAGATTCCTACTTGCCACCACTCCTCTGATTCGCAGTCTTCATTTTGATAGTTTCCTTGACCTGAATTGCTGGAGGGCTATTGCTTTTTCAGCTTTCATTTAAGGACTGAACGCTATGCCAACTATTAACAATCGCCTGCTTAAATTGCTCTTAATTATGCAAAGCAGGAACGGTACTCGGATGTCCTTAGTCTATTCAGGCACTCACCTGAAATGATGAAAACGTTAAAAAGGACTTTAATTAAGGCGCACATCATCAGGGCTAATAGCGAGTGAAGCGTAATGCATGCAGCTAATAAATTGAGGCGCAGGTTCCCTTTCGACTGACGGAATACCAGTTTACCAGTAGGCTGAAACAGCCAGCTGGGTTTTGTTGATAAACAGGCGTGGAAAACGTCTCAGCCGAGTGCTAAAGGCGCTTTCAATCGTTTCACGAAGCGCCTCGTCCTTTATGTTATTATTTTTGTTACCCTTTAACGTAAGTAGCATATGAGGATGAAGGCTAAGAACGAAACAGATCAATAAAAAAAGAGAAACCTTAATAATAATTAAAGATTTTCAAGTTCTTGAAAATATTTACACAGTATATTGATATTATAAGAAAACGTTTTCTTGTGTGTTGTTTTATAAATCCATATTATAAACACAATCAAGAGTAAAGTTTCCAACAAGGTATTTTTTAGTCGATTCCTTGTCGGTAGTTCTTTGTTCGGATTATATATAATTTTGTTGATGCCATCGGTGCACGCGATTTGCGACGTCAACGGCATAAAAATTATGTGCAAAAATGGCAGTAGGCATTGTGGAGTGTTCGCTGGAGCAGCTCCTGCTGAAGTGCTGGTGCTGCTGACCCCAAAAGCAGACGGAGAACGGAGCCAGAATAATTTGTGGCCCTCGCCACATATAAAAATGTATACAAGCTTCTTGCTGGTGGTTAGTGTCGCCGAATGGAACACGGGGCATTAGAAAAATAAAGGGGGACCGATAAGGAATATATGAAAACACAAATGCCACCTACCCCACCGAGAAACCACTCGCAAATAAGGACGACGGCCGACTAACATTTGCTTTCTCTCTTGCACGCAGGATGATATGGAGCAATGGGTTACGGACACATTTTATTCGTACTTTCCCGGCTTTAACAATGAAAATCAGAAGCGGCAAAATTATTTGCGTGAGCGACAGCGCGAGAACCAGCAGAACTTTCTCAAGCACCAGGTGAGCGTTTCGATATTACCATAAAAATATTTTGATTATGTGCGAACATTCGTTCAGCTAAGCAGTGTGAAATTTATGAGTGCGAAATCAATGTTTATTTCGTTGCTAGATGCTCCATCCGCCGGTCTCGAAGCATCTGCGACCGGGACAAGTGAGGAAGGCATCCCAACCCGCTGCGGCTCCGGCTCAGAACCGCTCCAGCCAATCTAGCACTAGCACCTCGAACCACAGCACAACGGATAAGACTGACTTAGAGTTAATTGTAAATAGCAATCCCAACTATGTGCCGCCCAAAATACGGCCCGGCACGACGCGTCAAAAACTCCTCCAGGATCTGGGACATGTGGAGCTCTCGAACATTGTAACAGGGGATGGCATCATGGAGCGGAATCTCCGGAGTGCCGAGCTGGAGACAGCTCGCAAAAAGGACTACCAGCGGGATTTAATGCAGCAAATTGACGAGAAGCGTCGCTCCATTGAACTACTGAGAGAAAAGGAACGTCGTCAGGAGGAGGCGTTGACCAGGTAATCCATTAAGTAAACACTCTTTTAAAAGAATACTAATATTTGACTCACCAACAGACGACTGGAGGCGCAATTAAAGACAATACAATTGGAAGAGCAGTTGGAGAAGGAACGTGTTCGTGCTGAAAGGGTAAATATCATAGCCACTAATTATTTAATTAATAGGTATAACTTTTAAAAGAAAAAAAAAAAACCTCTATGCAAATATTTTTGCTTACCTAGTCAAACCATTCTGAAATATTGGTTTCCATTTAATCAAACACTAAACCGTAAAGCCTTGAGTTTATTTATATAACTACATTGCGATTACATATCCAAATATTCGATAGGGCGTAATTGTCATTGATTGGTATTACCATTAGATTTACAATCTTCGCCCCAAAATAAATGGTCCGAAAGGGAAAATTAATTGTAATTGATAGGAGTATTAAGCTCCTGATTTTATTCGTTCGCATCTAATGATAGATAATTGTAACTGTGCGTTGTTTTAGTAATTGAATAAGCCTTCTCTAACTTTTGTTCACTATACTGGCAGGCTCGCATCGACTCGGAACAGAACCGCTTGATGCGGGAACAGTTGTTGGCCAAGCTGGAACAGGATGCCCAGTTGCTGCACGCAAAGGAATCTAATAATCTAGCTGAAACGCCAAGGACCACACGCATTCGAGGCAAGAACAATAACGCCAGTAATATCAGCTTAGAAGGAAACGCCAACCGCGTGTACAAATACTTCAGTAACTCGGCGCATCACGAGTACAGACGTGGTCAACCGTTGCCGCCAGCCGTTGAGCTGGACTTTGAGGTGCCACAAATGGCCAAGATCGAGCGAGAGTGCTTCCATCTTTGCGACAAAATATGTCCGCTCTGCGATGAGCCACTGAAGAGCTACGAAAGCTGCTGTCTGCGATGCCAGCGGAAATTGGCGCTAAAAATTAAGCAAAAGCAGCAGCCAAAACGAGATGGAGAAAACGGAGAAAAACCAAGCGAAGACTCTGAGGAGGGCAAACACGAGGAAGAACAGGAACGGAATGATGATCGTGATGAGGAATCTAACCACAACTGCCAGAGCAGCTACGCTTTAGTGTGCCATAAGTGCGAGCGCCTCTATGCCATGTGCAGCCAGTGTTTGGCCAAAAGCGATGTCTGCCGGGCGTGTCAGCGAGAGCGAAATGTCTGCATGAACTGTCGCCGCAATTTGTGTTCTTTTTGCCTGGAGGAGGTTGCCTGCGGCAGGGACACGGAACGTACGCATGTAAATGACAAGGAAACCATCAGGGAACCGCCTTCCAGCAACGCGTTTCAAGTTCTGGAACTGAACTATTCTGTACCGCCAGCAAAGGAATCAACGGCCATTAATGCAGCAGACATATCGCCTCCGTACTCCGTTAACATAGCTAGAAATTCTGTGTTCCATGCCGACTACAAACCAACGCCGGTGAAGCCGTCCATTCTCGAACAACTGCCGACGACCTCGGGTAGTGCCAACACCAGTTTCGAGCTGGACAGCGCCGACGAGCAGGCTGTGGAGCGGGTGCGACGTCAAACGGATCAGCGGCTGTCGCGGTACCTCAAGAACTACGGGGATTTGGCCACCAAACAGCAGCAGAAATTGCAGCAACAGGAGTTGCAGCGCAGCAAGAGCGAATCTCGTCATCGGGGCACGCAGACAATGCCACAATCGTTGGGCAGACGGGATGTGGTTCTACGAGAGTCCGCTGGTCAGAATCTGTCCATGCCTTTGTTGCGCGAAATGCCCAAAATGACGCGACAGGAGACTGGAGCACCCTTGGCTGAAAATGGGCAGCGCAAGATTGATAATCTTAAGAAGCGTTGGGAGGTATGTGGATTACTTTCAGAATAGCGCTTATATATTTAAAAATGCATTTATATTTATATTTACAGGTGCCTGCCGTGCAAAAGTTCACCGTTTCAACGTCATCGCCTAAAATCCTAACCCAAGTGGGAGCCATAAGAAAACAGTTACAGGCTGCGCGATTCTTTGATGATGAAGTTGATCCGGATGATTACTAGGGTCAAGCCAACCATCTTTTTTTTTTCATAACAAAACTGATTGTGTTGACGCCCTTATTATCCGAGCAAAACGAATTTAATTCTGTTTGATGTCTTCACATTTTTAAACTTTTGCCATTATTATTTCACTTTTCTTCATTTTGTAAACAACTCATGTAGTAATAGCTTTATAGTAAGCTGATTCCAAGTGCTTCGGCTGTTTCATTCAGCAACTTTAATATGTAAGCCATAAAGTTTGTTAACGTTTATTGTTCTTTTTTTACGAAAAATTATTAACTGCAAAAGTGTTGATTAAAAGGATACAATTAAAAACAAACTTTCCTTAACAAATGAGATGTTCATTCTTTTAAAATCAATATAAGTTTGGTAAAAAAAAAAAAAATTTTCCTTAATAAGATTGCAAATATTTAAGCGTATGTGGTTTTTTTTTAAGGCAAATAGTTTTTTTCTACATATTTTTTCCTGAAATTTATATATATTATCTAAAATGAGTAAGCTTGAATCCCTTATTTCCCAGGTAAGCCCAAAAGATTGAAACAATTCGAGTGTTACGTTTGAACATAAATATTTTTTTTATTGATTTTTTTTTTTTTGCATTGAGTGGTCGATCCTTGGGGTCAGTGGCGTCTATTGGTCAGCCTACCACTGGAGGGGCTGGGGAGCGTAGACGGGGGCGTACTGCGAGTAGGCACCGGCGGATCCGTAGCTGGGAGCTGGGGCGCTGCAGGGAACTGGGGCCAGGTTGGGCTGGCAGCTGAACAGGTAGTTCTTGGGGCAGGGAGGAGCCGGGATCGAGACGGGAGCGGCGGCGTAGGATGGAGCAGCCGGGGCGGCGTAGGCCGGAGCAGCGGGAGCCGGGGCGGCGTAGGATGGAGCGGGTGCAGCGGCGGGCTTGCCATAGCCACCTCCATAGGAGGAGCCGAGCATCTTATCGTCCTTGTCGGCGACAACGAAAGCAGCCAGCAGGCAGATGGTGGAAACGATGGCGATGCACTTCATGTTGATTGCTTTGGTGGTTTCTTAGACTGGTTGGTAGCAGACTGCGATGCTTCTGCCTTCGCCACTTGGGCTTTATATACCCGGAGTTGTGCAACCAAAAGTGCAGAGGCAAGCACTGACCAAGTTTACGGTTTACCCAACGACCCCTCGAAGTCAACGTGTGTGGGGCTTTTTCTGCATGGCCAACAGAAAGCGAAAAGAACAAACATTTCCTCCGCTTTTTTGGGCCACTGAACTTGTTGAGTAAACAAATTGCCGTATGCCAAATTCATGGGTTATGATAATATCGGAACCAAACTATGATGGAAATGGTTAAAGCAAAGAAAATAAAACAAGTGCACAACATTATAGATATACATTTATTTTAATTAATTAAATTACTGTCAAGTTTCTTTTATAAAGAGGTTAAGAGGTTGTGTTAATTATAAAAATAAATTAAGTACTTTGTTACACCCCCATATTCTTAACACTTAAACTTTTCTCGGAAAATTATATTTAATCGCCCAATATGCATTCCATAGCAAAATATATTTGCATAGCAACATATTCTACAAGTTTTTAAAATGTGTTGAGTGGGTGAACTTAATTTCCATTTCCGTGTGCTGAATTTGATTTTGCTTTTAGAGCTGAAAATTTAAATAAGAATTTAAGCTTACTAATCCCTAAGCAATGCTTAGTAAAATATGTATTAATATTATTAATATGTTTTACCCCGCTTTCAAGTTATAAAAACTTGAAGACCTTCTTATATAAAATTCCTGTAGTTAAGTTTCAGTAATTGTGAATGGAGAATGCTTTCATTCCTTTCAAAAACCGATCGAAAATAAATATGAATCCACACTGTATTCAAATTTTCACATAGAACACCAAACAAAGTTGATTTTCTGTAAAGCTTATTAAAATGAAATTCGCTTTGCAATTCTGTCAAAGAGTGCGGCATCGTCAGCTGCAAAACCGCGGCTTGCATATGCCACCAGTTGAAAAGACCAGAAGCAATGACCAATGGAAGTACAAACTTGAGCACTCTGAAGATTTAATAAAACGGGCAATGACTCTGTATAAGCCCAATGAATTGATGCTTTGCTTTAATGGTGGCAAGGATTGTACGGTGTTACTGGATATTTTAGCAAAAATAAAGCCTCCATCGATTCCATTGCGAGCAGTTTATGTTAAGTCCGCGGATCCCTTCGAAGAGCTGGAAAAGTTTGTCGATGACTGCCATAATCGATATGGATTGCAATTGCTTCGCTACGAAGGAGTTCTTAAATTGGCTTTTGAGCAATTGCTAGCCGAGAATCCCCAGGTGAAGGCCATGTTCCTTGGCTGTCGACGCAGCGATCCTGGTGGCTTAAATCTTTCAGAGATGTTACCCTGCGATAATGGTTGGCCGGCAATGATGCGAATTTTCCCTTTGCTCGAGTGGAGCTACCACGATATTTGGAGTTATATTCGAATCAACAATTTGCCATATTGCTGTCTTTACGATCAGGGTTATACTTCTTTGGGAGATCGCAGTTCAACACATTTGAATCCCAGTCTTCTGGCTTATGACGAGAATCTGGGCAAGATGACCTACCGGGCAGCTTTTGAATTGGAAGACACCCGAATGGAAAGGGTCAATAGGGATGAACATGACCAGGGGACCATGGGCGAATCCAAGCAACAATAATCTGGCTCAGGTCAAGCTCAAAGTTCTTTTTACTCTGCTCTTGACATGCCATATTCTATTTTTTGTCCATCAGAACTTGAGCCAAAGTGGAGCAGCAAGTGTCAGCTAACTGGGCCGACAATTCTTCGCAAGACCCCATTTCAGTTGCCATACAATTCGCTTATCAGACAATTTGAACAACTTCAACAAGCCGGCCGAACACCTTATGAAAATTAAACTTGTGTATAAGAGAAAACATGGTGAAAGTTGCAAAGATGAGGTGGTTTTGGTGAAAGCTTTTTGTTTCTAAAGTTCAGGACTTATATTATTTTAAATGATATCACAAGTAACTGATTAAGGTAATAGTATATTTGTACATTTATTGAAAAGACCTGTGGAAATTGTAAAAGTAAAATCGCTTCTTAAATGCAAACTATTAAATTTTTTGTTAAAAATGACTTGAGTTTATTTGGTAATTAATAACTTATATAAACAAAACATTATTACTGTTTAATTCAACAAAAAAATAAATTTTAAAAGCAAAACTTTGCATCAAATAAATATTTTAAATAACACTTTTTTTTTATATGACTTGTATACCATAAGTCAATACCAGAAATGTTTACTTTAATTACTTAGTGTGGCTACTTACGCCCCTTTATAAAATAAACCAAGTTGTTTACCGTCTGCGGTTGATTTTTATGAGGTGATGGAGATGGAGTGGTGCTGGTTCCCTCTTCTCCTATAAGGATCAGCGGGTGGTGGTGCCTTTGGCATTCCTTCTTCCTCGGCACCTTTTCCTCTTTTTCGATTGCGTTACCATTAGGAATCTCTTGGGATGCCTGTGCCTGCGGCGAGTATTCCAGAAGGTCACGATAGACTTTCCAGAGACTCTGGTCCTCGGAACGGTCCAACCAGTTGAGCAGATCCTGAATGGTCTTGTCATGGCGATGGGCCACTTGCGCATCGAATGGCGGATGCTTTCGAGTGGCAAACTGTGCCCGGTAGCCCGTTTTGTTGGTTTTCGGTGTAAGACTAACACGAAACCACTGCTGATCTTGTGGATCTTCTCCCAGTAGAGCATATTCAAAGTCCGGAGCTGCCGATGATGTTTCCGTTTGCAATCCCAGTTGATTTGTAGTGCTCACGTAGCTGTTGTTGTTAACCTCCAGCTGAGGTCCTTGCCTATTTAATAATACAATTTGATTACACTTATTGGAAACATTTTTAAAGTATAAAAATCATTACCCCAACTGAGTGTATCTGGCCAATTCTGTGGGTATAGCCACTCCACTGCTAACCATTATACAAAAAATGATTATTCCCATATACGGTTTGTTCCACATTTCGCCCATTTTCGCTGAGTGCGACGAAGTTTTCCACGACACTGGGTTATATAGGGCACCGATAGTTTATGCTTATGCTTTGTCATTTTTCCCGGTTGCTGGGGCTTCGTGTTCGGCGTAGAAACCGGCATGTAAATGTAGCTTTAATGATTTCGATTCGACAAACTTCTCAGATAGCCAATGTTCGCGATAGACTGTCACGTTTGTGGTTTAAGTTACTGTTTTGGAATTTAAATAATTATCATTTAAGTATTCTTAATACTGTAAATGAGGCGACAAATTTGTTATAAGAGAAAATATTGGTATAATTCTTTAAGCTTCTTTATTGTTATGTGATTTAAATAATATTTATTGGATGTGGTAATAAACAATATCTAACAAAATTGATAATAAATATTTAGAACATAAAAACAACTAAACAAAATAAATGGCTTGGTCACTTCTATACAATAGTTTTTTTATAAAAAGAAATAGTTTTTCCGTTTCCTTCTCAGCCTAATAAGAATATTTGTTGGCCTTTTGAATTTGCTTGGGGAAATGCCACTTGGCCGAGTCACTTCCGGTGCGCTCTTTCCGTTTTCCGCTCCTCTCTGGCAACAGCTGTGCCAGCATTGCCAGCCCAAAAGAGAGTTATTATCAGTGAAATTGGCGACCTTTCCAATGTGGGTAAACTCTGAAGGATGTTAATCAACAAGGCTACTTTCACTTTAACCCGCCCCGCACACCCCCACCTCGTTCTGCGGTGAGCGTGCGCCCGAAAGGTGACTTCCTCTCACATTTCTCTCTCTCTCAAACTTTCTCTCTATTTCTCATTTGGCAGCAGCTGAGACGGCACAGCTGTTTGGCATTTTGCGCGCGCACTTTCCTAAAACAAAAAGAAAATACGAAACGCACATCACACATACGCGCCGTGGTACGGCGAAGGCAACTCTCGTTGGGTTCGACAGGACTCGGAATCGCCTCGCACACTCAGTAGACAATCTTTCCTCATTTCGTTAACACACTCACAGCACCTTCAAGCGAACCAAATAATATACAGAAGAATTTCCCCAAAGCAACAAACAGCAACAGTAGCTAAATTAAATACCCCGAAGATAAAACGAGTAGATAAATATGTAAATACATTAATTACTTTCGAAACAGATTAAAAAAACCCATTAAAAAAGAGCTTGAATAGATACGTGTGTTGTTCGCCGACTAATACTCGTATATAAATCTGTTAAGCATATTTAACCAAACCACATTTAATTATATTGAATGTCAACGTGCGTGTCTAGTGCAAAAAGCTAAATCCTCGTCTTGTTGTTGTGGCTCTGTCGTCGCCCTTAACTTTAAACGAAAGTATGTAAAAAAATGTATCTCTTATCAGGCAGCTTCGTTTATGCGTGGCACTTTAATGGCAAACAGCAAGAAACGGCCTGATAAAATGCGGCCAACTCGCTTGACTTTTACCATTTTGTCTGTTTTACTTTATGTATCCTGTTTTATTTGAGCTATTCGACGAATAAGTTTGCCACTTATCAGTAGAGAAGCAAACGCTATGGGTTTTAGTTTGTGTGCAGAGTAATTGCTGTACTCGGTGTCTGATAACAATCACTTATTTCTATTGGACGGCAATCGTTATTATAATTGATGGGTTGCTACCATCAACTGATGTCAGTGAGGGGAAATTGTGAAAATTGACAAGGCCTTGAATTGGCTAAATAATGGTAGCAATTTCTTTTTTGCGCTAAATGTTAATTAAATTTGTTAGTTACACAAACAGTGTAGTTTTGTTAGGTGAAGTCAGTGAAAGTATTTCAATTCTCCAAAGCTTCCCACACTTATCTGAAGTTGAACCAAAGTTTTAACAATTGAGTTTCTCTGAAGTTCTTCACAGTTCGGCATTATCTATTATTTTTAATTTAATTAAATGCGTTTGGCTCATGTTCGTCGGCTGGTTTGTTCGTTGCCTGCGTGTTCAAGTGGCGTGTAAAGTAATTTACCAACCCACAAACTTTTCGTGGCCGCTTAATTTTTAGCGCAAAACAAATAAGCAATTGCCAAAGGCAGAAAGCAGAAACGAAAAACTGCGGACCAAAAGTCCTTCAGAGTGAGCTGAGCGAAGTTGAGTTTCAGCCAGGTTAGTTAGGCGAAAGGAAAAGTTTCAGCCTGCCCATTACTTTCACTTTTTCAGCTGTTCCCGTGCTCGCCACTGCAATATTTCTGCCGTTGTCTAAGCGAACTTGGGGCTTCACCTTAGGTGTGTCTACAGCATATATACACGAGTATATAGGTTTTTCTATATGTATGGGAGTTTCTGTGGGTTTGGGTGGTGGTGCGCTGACTCGTCCTTCAATAATGCTGCCGTTAGATTTTTTCATCAAATGCCTTTCAAACGTTTCATGATCCCTGCATTTGACTTACAACTTGAATAACTTAAACAACTTTTAACTTAATTGAGTTGGGAAAGAGTTTGGTGAGTGTATCAATCTATAGTTGTTTTAATTAGTTCGAAAGGGAGTTACGTTTATAATTGTAGGTACCTATCAGTTTTATAACAATTGAATTAAAGCTGTTCCATAAAGTGTTTACTTAACAAAATCATGTGGATATTTTCTTTAAGCCAAGATATAAAAATTTGTGTATTGTTTTTTTATATTACTTTAAAGGCATTTTGTGAGTGTGGGTGTGCGTGAGATGGAGCAAAAACTTTTGTTTTTTTTTTTTGGAAGGTTTACAGTGGAAACTATAAAAAAGTCGTCCAACTCGGTTTGGAGTCGTAAATTGTTGCTGTTGCTGTTGCCGTTTCTTGGTAGTTTCTGCCATCGTTTGTTGTTGCTTTCGGCCCTGCAGCCTGACTTGTAATGAATATAAAACTGCCTTTTAACTGCCTTGGCAGAAACCCTTCACGTCACTTGGCTCCCCGGTTTTTATGCATGTCCGAGAGCATTGCGAATTCCTTTACTGAATTGTTTTATGACCTCTAGCCAAAGGCTTCAACTTAGGCGAATAGTTGTTCCTCAACGAGAAACTTGTTGAGGCACAGCAGTCATATCACACAATTGAATAGAACACAACAACAAAAACTTTAAGATTTTGGCACGCTATAAACTTGTGTATAATTCTTGCGAATCTATTTTTCTTTTTCAGCTTTGAATAGAAAAGATTTCGACATTTCACTTTTGCGATTTTTTGCTCCAATTCCTGTTTGGCAAGTCGCGACGCTTTCTTTCGCCAAAGCAACCAGTGTTTTGTGCGAGATAAGCAGCTTGACCGTGGGCACTGCTAGTTGGGTGGGAATGTGGGGATGTGGGATGCGGAACGTGGGATGAGCAGGACTCCATCCAAGGCACAAGGACAGGCGAAAGCTCGAGCCGTGGATATCCTGGCGACGGCACGTACAGCAACGAAGCGTGCACAGCGAGATGATAATTCCGTTGAATACCCAAGTCAGCCTCGACTTTATTCCATATAACACCATGAACGAGTGGGATAGAGAGAGTGGAGAGGTGGAGAGGGGGAGGGGCAGGGTGAGAGGGGATGCAGGAGAGTGAGGAAGTGCTAAGTGTTGAGCTGATATGCAAAACAGCTATACGTACGGCTCTGACCAAATCCGAACGACACCAGACCACATTCTGCTTAGGTATATCGATAGATATTCTGCTGAAAGGAAAGCAATTTTAGAGAACTCAAGGACGAGACCACAAATTCGTTTTACAAACTGTGAATAGATTTTAATTTGAATATTCAAACAAAGACAGAGAAAAAAGGCAAGTGGAGAAACTTTAAAAGTTTAGAGTATTTTGATTACCAACGAACAACAAGTATTTAGAGCCAATACTTCTTGCTCTGTTTAATGATGTGAAGATTAAAGGTTATTCCATAAAATAATACCATTTGCGTATTTTAATATTATATATAGTTAAATGGACTCATATTATATAAGTAATTAAATAAGTTTCCAATTCGGATTTATATCCATTAATCTCCACTTTCTAGAGATAAACTCAAATTAATCAAAACCGCTTTCGGTTTCAACCCACATTTTCAGCAGTCATTTGGGGTCCATTATAGACTCATTGACAGACACTAAGCTGAAAGCATCAAATTAGTCAACTTGATGCGATGGGCTGTATATCTTATGTGCATATATTCCCTTCTGTATGCCAAACAAGACCATAATTTCTGGCTTTAATGAGAGTGGCCAATGCCAAAGCCAAAGGCCAACGTGAATTTGTTTCAAAGTCGTTTGGTGGGCGTGTGAGTCGCGCAAGGATGTGGCTAAGTGTAGAAGCCCACATGCGGCTGAGTGTGTGTAAGTGTGCGAGAATGTTGGAGTTGTGTTTTGGCCAGGCCAACGCCTGAATGTCTCAGCGTGAAGTGAAATCTTTAGAAAAGCCTTGAAGTTGTCCGCTGCCAACTTTTCGACAAGACAGCTCCAAAAGTTCAAGTTAAGTGCAGCGAGCAATAGCAACAGCATACATCAGCAGCTCGAAAACATGGCCAACAACGACTTTCAAGATATACTCCCCAACTGTTGTTGTTATAAACAAGCCAGGAGCTGGCCAAGTTGCCAACTCTCCGGAGGCTCCTGCGCGCGCATATTTTTTTTATTTCATTTTCCTGAGAGCCAGGAAGCCAGAGAGCCGCGAGAGTTTTCTTCCCACAGGACCTGAGGACGCAGCTGCTCGGCATCCAGTGGCCACCCATGTCCTTTAGTATACAAAACGCCAGCGAGCAAAGCGTTTGCCACACGGCCAAAAAGCAAAACCAAAAAAAAAAAAAGGGAAACTGCGACAACAGCAGCAACAATATCAGCGCCAAAAGTTCGCGTCAAATGAAGTGAAAAGTGAAAGTTGCTAACTTGTGCAAAATTATTCCCCTGCTTTCGCCCAGGTGGGCCTTTCGGTCGGGCGCACGTGGCGTATGTGCGATATATCCCAACGAGATTGAATTAAATGCGCTTGGCTCCGTTCGGCCCAAAGGAGTCCCGGGAGCATCCTTGCCCTTGGCCATAACAAACGTTGTATTCCTGTTTATTCTATTGCGTAGGTTGAAACGGGAGGCAAATAGGAATAAAGATTAAAGGTTTTATATTTAAAGATAAGAACAAAACGTACAGGCTTTATATAATAAAAGAAAGACCAGTTTCCACAATCATTTTCCTATTAAATGTGTTTGAAAACAATGAATTAAATATACATATATAGGTATATAAAGCTAAAGGATATTCCGTTAGTTAAACTGGGTTAAATTTTATTGTAGAAGTTAACTTTAACTAATACATTTTTTATCACAATATATATTTTAAATTTGTCGTTTTACTGAAAAGTGGTTAGCAGATTGGATTGTAAACAAGTTAAATTAATCCTTTGAATTCTATTTTATTGTTTATAATTTATTTTTAACAATTATTTAACTTTGTTTTTAAACACTTAATTTAGCGCACAGGTTTATTGGCCGCACCTAAACTCAGTTCAAAAATGAACACATCAGAAAATCACAAACTTTGTGTGTCCAGGGGAAGAGCCTCATTCTGCTCACCATTGTCAATGGGGTTTCGCTTGTTGTTTTTCCCTCAACGAGCCATCATTGTATTTCCTTTCAGTTTGAGTTGGTGCTTCCGTTTTATGTTTATTAACCTCTTGGATTTTTGGCCAGCAAATGTTTGATCAACTAACTTTAACTGAAGTTCTTCTTTGGTTTTTCATATATTTTATGGAAATTGCTACAGGCAAAGTTTCGCAGCCATGAAAACCCCTGACTTTGATAACAAACTGCGCGTATAAACTGCAAAGGGAAATGAGCACACAAGAAAAAGCCATTGTGAAACTGTGAAAGTGTAATCAAATAAATTCTCTCGCCGAATAATCCGAATAGAGGAAGAATAAAGGTCAGCTGTAGAAAATGTGCATAAAAACCTGCGACGACATCAAATTCGGTGACAATAGCGACGGAGGCCATGAAGGTGGAAAGAATCACGTCATCCGCACATCCAATTCGGCCATCGAGCACTTCCAACTCAAACTGCAGTTGCAAGCAAAGTTAAACAAACAAAAGCACAAGGGCTCCAAATTGCCCAACTTTAAGATCCTCATGTGTTGTTGCTACTTCATTATCATAGTCCTGATGATATGAAAACAGCTAAGAAAAACTACCATCCAATGAAACTCGAATTCCAACCGAAAAATGCTTCACTTTTATAGATAAATAAAAGCACTCTAAAACCACAAAGCGCACCACAAACTAAATTAAATTCAACTAAACTCGCAAGCAAGGTAAAAATTTATTGTTGCCTACTTTGGGGAGGAAATAGTTCTTAAGTGGCTTAAAAAAATATTAAATTCTTGTGAACAGATGTGTGTTCTTACCATTATTTCAATAATCTTTAGTGTTTGTTTGTTTTTGTTGCTGATATTTGCTTGCCTTAAAATTTAAATGTTGAAATTTGAATGGCTTGTTGTCTTGCTTTAATTTCAAGCATATTGATTTTTTAAACTTTTCATCAATAAACCATTAGTTATACAAGCCACTTGATTTACCATTCCACACGGGTCTAATCCAGTCAGCAAGGTCATCTAAAAATAGTTAGCGACTATAAACCGCTCGCCCACTTAGTTTTTGTCTTCAACAGCCATCTTTTCTACTTATCGAATTAAATCAATTGGTGTTTTATGGGCCTGTTTGGTTTATTGAAATTAGCGCTAAATTGTTTTATACTACAATATGTTACCGCCGTTGGTGCACGAATTACGCATACGTTTTGCTCCTTTTTCGTGTCCAAGCTTTGTTTGTTTGGCTTGTCCCCGCTGATTACTCATACGACGCGTGGCACATTTCATGAAAATTGATTTTACACTGTGACAAAGCTCAAAGTACACATACAGACATTTCCCTTCTGCGTGAGTCGGTCTGTGGTATTTGTTTTTGTTTTTATTCTGATTTTCAATTCACATTGCTGACCTACATTCCCGCTTTGCGTGGGTGAGGCTCTGGTTTTTTTTACCGTCGGTGCTTTTTGGGCCACAGGTTTCTGGAAAAATAAAAGAAAAATACACCCATGGGCCATAATTTATTCGTTTATACGGCCAAGAAATTAATTAATCCATGGAGCCACAAATTTGTAAATATTTCCAATGAATATTTTAACGGCGTTTAAACTTTGACGAAATCCTGAACGGTCAACGAATAATTCATTGCATTTCGGCCTGCAGAAGCAGCAGTTTAAAAGCTTTGCAGTTAAATGCACAAATATTTGCCCGATGTACACATTGCAAGCTCTTTTAATATTTCCTAGCTCAACAGAAATCATAAAAAGATTCGCTTGCGCGGAAAAAAGTTGTCTACGGTAGACAGAAACAAATTGCTGAAACCATTATAATTTTCAAAAGGAAGTTAAACATAGCGAAACATAATATTTAAACTTTCCCTCAACTCGGAGGAGTGTAATATAACATTAAATTATTTTCGTTTATTTTTATACTTTTGTACGGTCGTAAGCAAAGTATTTACAGCCAAGCCAGCTCGTAAATGCAAGCCATCGTTATTTCGCTGATATTGTCAGCTTTGAATTTATTTTTATATTATCGGACTTTATAGCAACCGTAAACATGCAGTTGGGTGCTTTTATTTTGCTTGAGGATTTTACGCGACTTTTAAATCCTAGGAGAAACATGCTTAATATTTGATTTTTTACGCTTATGTCTAATAAATTTAAATAACTTTACCCATAGATCTTAGACCCAGGCGAGTTTTATACGCATTTGTTGAGTTTTACTGAAACGTGCATTCAATCCCAAAGGAAAAGAATCATAATCTTGTTTTGGATAGCCATTGGCACAGCTGCTGCCACAAATGGGACAAAGGGATCCAATTATTAACAAAATAGGCTGACCCAATGTGAACACAAAGCCACATTAACAACCAAATAACATGAGGGAATTACGTGTAGGGAGGTTCTTATTCTTTGGTTGGATTTCAAAAAGTCTTAAGCAACTTTGATTGAAACCAAAATGTTATAAATTCATTCATTTTATTTTAAATAATTTCTTTTTTAAGTAACGTTTGCCTGATCTCAATTTTCTTGGTGTGTAGAATGTCCCCTGTAAATTGATTAGTAAAACAAAAACCAACCTAAAATAGATTTTATCTAACTAAAGGATAAAGCAGCTTTTTCATTCCAGACAGATAAATATGTTTGTGAAACTTTACCACTGTGCAACACGAAACATTTTTCCACAAAATGTAGAGACAAACACATGTGAACGAACCGATATATACTTTTGTCATTTGTATGCGTAGCTAAACCCTTTATTATCCTTTATGTGTTTTTGTACCAATTCACACACACACATGCCGAGCAAGGATATCCTGTCAAAATGTTGTTGTAGCTTGTGTCTAGCCATTGTGCAATCAAATTGTTCGGTGGGCGTTGGTTTTGGGTTAGCGTCGCTTACGCATGCATTTACAACAAATTATTTGGGGAAAATTGTTATTAATGCTTTTGGCAAGGTCACGGAATGGCTTTTCGGGAAATTAGATAAAGGGTTCTGGCTTGGGTGGGCGTGTATGTGACTAAAATGTTAACGAGATTTCTCTGGCTTCCAAATCTAATTTAGATTTCACTTTTTCTACTTTCAGTTCCCATTCGATTGGTGTCTATAATATAAACCATCAGTTGTTTACCTACGTGTGTTACTACAAATCAAACGAATTAAATATATGTGTCTAGTTTATTACAAATAGTTAAATATTTTCAAATCTAGCTTAAAGAGTGAAGATGAGCTAAAGTTTTTGTGTCTGTGCTAAGTGAAATTGTTTAACCATAACCATTGAAAAGTATATGTTTAACTGAAAAGCATTCAATAATTCAAATAATCTGTAGCGGCTATAATAACACCATTATTCGGCTATGAAATCGGCGAATGGATCCAGCAAGTGGCATAATTTATGAAAATGATACCGATGTGAAGTGAGTACATCTGATTTATTTTACTATATTGGGTAATCTACAATGGGAATTCCAACGAGGTTTTGTCCCCAAAAACTTAATAAGAATAAAGTTTGTGTATAGTTAAAAAATGTATTTAAATTACTGATTTGTATTGTAAACTTTTATAGATTTAGGTAGACTTGTTGGAGTTCTTATTGTTTAATTAGCCTTATTGATTTTAGAGTTAACCTCCTTAAAAAGTAATAAATAATTCCGTAATCTATAGCCAGTTTCATACGTATGCTCCATTGAACCCCTAGTAAATTATTCAGAATTAGCTACATATTTAGTGTGTAAATTCATGAAAGTAGAGTTTAACCACTTTGTACACTAGTCGTATGCGTAATGTGGATTCCAATCATCACGACTCGGCTGAAAATGTTTAGCAAACAACAATATTGAATGGCAGAGTAAATTTGTAGAATATGTTGACAGACATGCGAGAATTGTCCCAGGGTTGGGCAAACAGAATGTTTCGAACTGACGAGAATCGGGGGAAAAAGGGACCCATTTCTGTGATTTTGTGTGCTCGTCTCTTTTTCCTGTTTGCTCTCCCCAGCTTGCCTTTGGTCAATAGCAAATGCAATTTTAAACAGGTCCTGGTAATTGTTTTATGGCACTCCAAGGAGCCACAAACAAATCAAAGTGGAAAAGAAAACAACTCAGACTTCAGTCGTTAGATTTATGCGACTGCCTCGATGAGCAGAGCAGGCATTATAAAGTCGTAAAGAAAGACGCTCACTTGGCAATTTGGCTTATCAAAAAGCCAATAAATAATAAGCCGGAGAGCTCGTTGCGCGGTACATGAAAAGTAGATCAAGATTATGGGAGAGAAAACTTGTTTTTGTTTTAACATGCCGGTGCGGTTCGAACGTGCTTTTAGTATACTTACATGAGTGTTTGTCCGCAGGACACGTTGACACTTTTTATGGCTTATTTGTTGGTGGCATACAAAATTCATCTAATTGGCAATGTCTGCATATTTGATTCCACTAATGGAGGGCTGTCAATGTGGGACACAAAAGGTATTGGCATTCGCTTTGACAGCTCGTGATTAGAGCAACTCAAATTCCATTGATTTTCCCCACAATTTTAAACCGTTTGGCGTTTTTTTTTTTTGTTCGGCGAGGTCAAGAGGTCAAGTTGTCACCGAAATGCCAAACTCAATGGCATCTACACACTATTCCGTCTGTGAGTAACAAGGTCGAGGTCTTCGCAATTCAGAATGCTCACCAAACTTGACGAACGGAGACCGAGTTTGGCTTTGCCGGAGAAGTGCGTTAATTAAGTAATTTGCCAGGTCACGCTCACCTGTCCTTAGCAGAATAGAACACACCTTTAATGACCGCCGCGGCTGGCCAAAAATCGATTTGGCCTCTCTTTTCCCATTTCTTTGTGGAGCGACGAAATAAAAGTGGTCTTCTCTTAAAATCGATGAATTTTCGGGCACGTAATCATTTAACAAATGCTGTAATAACGTTTTTCGGTTTTTGGGTTACCAAGTGGTTTTATTTTTTAAACGATTGCTGAAAAGTGAAGTTCCTGCGCTTTATCGATCCATACCACAGTCTTTGTTAAGGTATAAAAGCTTAATTAGGTATTTATGTGCACCTGGTTATGGTCTCTGGCTTTTTAAGTAGAGCAAACTACCTTGTTAGTTAGCTTCTGCAAAACAACATGCAAGAACAATTAATTTGCATTGGAAATTGGAGTGAATAAAAAATAGGAAGCAAAGCAGATCAGCTTAAAAAACAGGGCCCTTTTTTGTGGCCTCGGCCTATTGCATTCAGTTTGGGGGTCGTTTTCTCGTCTTTTGCCACCAGGACACACCTTTCAACCGTGTTGGTGGAGTGCATTGTTAAATATCTCGGCATTCCTTTCCTTTTCGCTTTCACTTTTCACCCAGCAAATAGCACATTCCGCATTTTCCCTGACACATTTTGTTCTTCACCAATTTCTACCCTTTTATTGCATTCTTCTTGCAATTTCACTTCACCTAAAATGTTTTGCTTTAATTAAAATTGGCTTATGACTTAGGAGAAGGTGACTTGCGGTCGACTTTGGCTTTGGGTCTATTTTTTTGGGGAATTCTCCAACGTTTCTTGCACATAAATCAGATGCCACAACCAACACACACAGACACACACACACACACATAAACTCGCACAGCGAGGACATTGAAAACGCTTACATAATTTGTTAGGCGCGTCCAAGTCGCAGTCACTAAAAGCAATTTGCTGTAAAAGTAAATACGAAATCGTATTTCATTCCATGCCGCGACAGCCGAAAGACATATGCAAATCATTACTGTGCTCCCAACTTAAGGACCCTCGCTTGTACATATCCGTGTATGCACTTAGTTGAAAATGGTGCTGCTTAGCCCAAGTTGCGAAGAGTAATTTATAACCTAAACATTGTTTTTTGGTGTTTACTAGTTAGCTAGAAAGTCCTTAAAAATTGTAATTTATTATAGTGTCGGTTAATGGAAGTTATCATTTAGTAGTAGTTTTTTTTCCTGCTAACTATAAAAGATACAGAACTCCTCAATTGGTTCCGAATCTCTGTATTGAATAAAATTCATTTTTATTAGTTATTCTTAAATACCATAAAAGTTTTTGTTCAATTTGCAACTTTTTAAAGAATTAGGTTGGTGTAACTCTAAAGGGCTTAACCCAATTTTATTTCGAAAAAAAGTTATCTATTTCGAAATGTAACTTTCCTTTTATGTATCTTTAATTATTGTATAAATTAATTTTTACTAGAGAATTAACCATACAATTTTGTTGCCTTACGTTTGGCGCCTAGATATTTGTGAAATTGCCCTACCTATTTAATTTTTAGTGAACTCTACTTGGCCGTCTATTACGATTAAAAATACTTTCGATTCGAGTTGGTTGTTTTGCTCCTGCGGCTCCTCCTGCTCTTTCTGCTCCGCCAAACTCGCTGCCCAAGGCCGGAAACGGAAGTGTGCACATTGAAGAATGGCGCTAGGCGAAGACGCCAACATCTTGAATGCGGTGAATGGGCCAAAGTAAGTAGTTGGCCTAGGGAATGTTGCCAACTCGCAGCGCGCAGCAGAGAGGCCACTTAAATACCTGCAAAAGTTTTTCGCGCTTCCGCCGGAAATTGCCGAGGGCGGGAAACCGGGAGGAAATACGTAAAAAAAAAGAAGAGAGAGTTTTTACTTGAAGGGCGGGTGGGGCGGCTAGTGTGTTTCATATCAAATCTTCTTGAAATGCACAGCGAGACAGCCAGGAAGCGCTGAAGGAAATTCGTTTTCTTTTGAGACACACGTGGCAAGGGGAAGAGATGGCTGGCAAAAACAAGACAAGAAGAAAGTACAGTGGAAAGGCCTTTGAGCGGCCGCTGCAAATATTGCACAAGTGCGCTCGCCACTCGTCGTTGCAATGCAAACAGTAAGCAAAACAGCAGCAACTCAGCGGGTGAAATAAAAAAAAAAAAAAACAAAACAAAACACACACAAAAAAAAATCAGAAACAAAAGCAAAGGCAAAGGCAAGCTCGTTAAAATTACAAATAGAAGGCAAGTGGCAGAAAAGTGCGCTCAAGGACGCGTTGGCGTCTCGTGGCCCATTTGCCACCCGCCATCACCCACCATAACCCCCCTTCCCCCCGCCCCCTCGTTGCACCTTCACCCTTTTCTAATCTCCACATGTGTGGCATTGTGTGGCAGTCATGCAAAGCGTTTGAGGCAAGACGAGGCTGCATTTGAACTTACTCGTATCATGCCATCAGAAAACTTGCGCCTCAATTACGAAATGTTATGTTCCCCGTCTGGAGTCCTGCCACCTGCCACCTGCCACCTGCCACCGCCCCCTGATCCTAATCCTGATCCTCATTGCGGTGGGCGTGGCATGCGTGTTTACCCTTGCATTAGGCGGCACACAAAGTTTTCGCCTTTGGATAGCTACCTTTTTTGCTCGCTTCTCTTAGAACTGTTGCATTTCTGGCTTGGTTTGTTGATATGGTTTCGGTTGGCATCTGAAGGTCACTTCTGCCACTGACAGGACCTCATGGGGCGGCATTTCGGGGGTGTTTCTCCGGCAAGACCAATTTGAAAGTCAAGTCAGCTCTCGAATACAAAATAGCCAAGTCCGAACCACGCAAATGCCAAGGAAATGGAAAATGTAAATTAAAGATATTGCGAAAAAAAAGTTCCTTTGCTACAATTTTGAAAAACGCAAGGTAAGGTTTTTATTCAGATCGATAAAAAAGAATTTTAAAAGGAGTTTTTTCGAAATGATCAACCTAAAGCTCTGTAATTTGGCTATGAATTTTCAATTATGTCTCGCGATAAAAACAATGCCACAAAATAAATTGGCAAGTAAGCCTCAGAGTGCTCCTTAATTATTTCTGCAGTACAAAAACTTTAGATTAAGTGCGTGAGAACTTTTTCATAGCTCAGCAAATTAATACAGATGTAACAAAATTACCAATTACCTTTGAAGCCTTGCAACTTCTGTTCGCTCACCTCCAACGAAAAGCGTAGCCAACTTTTGTATAACTTCAGAACGAATTTCGTTGGCAATTCGCTCAATTAGGCAACAAATTAACCGAAGCCATACCACAAAACCCAATACCCATCGATCCAATCGAATCCAAGAGCTGCCCCGCCGTAATGGAATAAACCCGAAATCCCACCAGTAGACGCCGGGGATTTATGTCGACAAATTATGCACATTTATTTCAGCATAAAGCGAATGGCAAATGATGCAGCCAGAGTCACAGGATGAACCGAACTCGCACCCGGAATTCGAATCGGCAACGGAGCCAGAAACGAGAATCGAGTGCAGCGAGGACAAAGAGCGCATAATAAACTTATAATGCGTGACAGGATGCGTTTCAGAGAGTGCGAAGTGCCGGCGAGTCCTGCCGAAAGCCGTAAGTGGTTGCGGCTCATTTGGCACTCCATGCATCTTTGTTTGCCGAACTCCACCGGCTCCACCGACACTCCACTCC